GCTAAGACCAGAATCAATGTGCTTTTTAGCTAGAGAAACCCTTTTTCTGAGTGCATTAGAATTTAAGTCATGCCTCTGTACTGCAACTAATGTAAAATCTGGATGATCAGGCACATTTATTTCTGTGTATATGTGACCATGGCATCACTTCTGGGCCAGCAGCTTCTGCAGGGCTCTGGCATGCTGATTCATCATTATTACTGACCTCGACTGAAGCATTTTTGGGCAGTTGCTTAAGACGGAGCCAATGCTCTGTGCCTCCCAGTGGCATAACAAACCGAAAATAACCACACTTGTCTCTTTTCCTACACAGCACAAGCCATCACCTATACAGCAAAAGTCGTTTATTAAAACTCACAGCACACATCCTTTAGCCAATAAAGGCATACATGAAAGGACATAAATACATATACAACACGCTTAGGCAATAACCAAGAGTTTTCATCATCACAGAGAGCTTCAGGTTTCGGGGAGTTTATTTCCTATAGAAATGCTCAGCAAACAAGCTGTGTGCCACACTCCACCCCCAAATGGGAAAGTTGTGGCTGCAAAACATGTGCAATTTCATTCAACTGCTTAAAACATACGCAGCACAGTACCCCACGCTACTTCTGGTTCATAAAGGCACACGGATGTAGTATCCTTCAGCTGCAAACAGGCTACAAGTAGCAAATGAATCTGTTCCCAAGTTTTACTAGACATTAACTAAGTAGTAATAGAAAGAAATAACTGGTGTATTATGTTGGCATAAAGTAGTTCCAGTTCCAAGATAAAAGCATCTTACACAAGTCAATTTGTAGCAACGGGCAGTGCATTCAGTAGTGAAGGTGTTGACATCTTGTCAAGCACACAGCAATATCAAAACCATATTTTGACTCTGATGCTGGAGCTGAGCTGAACAGAAACTATTAGAAAAGCAAGTCTTAAATGGCTTTCCCATGCTGCTGGGCTTTTATTTTATGGCCCTCAAAATACTGGCGTTAACAGGTATGAAATACAAACTGAAATGCTCAAAAATGAGGCATTTCAGCTCCAGAAAGTGGAATGTTTGTTAAAAGTATGACACACAGAAGCTGTATTTTAGCAAACTTACAATGAACAAGGCTAGACATTCAGAAAGGAAAGTGTTTGCTTACAGGAATAGTCATTTCTAAGTTGGGTTTGTTTTTTAAGTCTTTAGCTGACCATAGGAATTCTTGGAAGCTTGAGGGTTTAAGTGGAACTGTTTGTCTATTTACTATGGCAATTCATGGTTTAGCTGCTTATTTTTACACACATAACATGAAAATCACTGGGAAATAAAATCAACTTTCTAGTTGAGTTTATGCCATTGTCAGCTCTAAATATTCCAGCATCAAGTCTCTTAGATATGATCACATGTCATGAACCATTAACTTCTCTATTGTACCTACCAGCTTTGTAGAATGAGTCTGTAATGGTAACAAAAGGCTTAGGTGTGTCACAGATCAACTCAGTGGTAGCCCTGAAGGGATGCCAACACAGGCAACTGTTTCAAGTCTATATAAGCTTAACTTATAACATGTAACACATTAACCTCTAGAAAAGCCAAAGTGATAATTTTCCCCATATTAATATTAAAAACGCAAAGTATTTCTGAAGAAAAAACTTGGAAACCGGAAAAAATACTATTTAAAGAAATAATAAGCCCAACATATCACTAACCTCTTGCCACTGAGAATGGCTACAAGAAAAAAGGTAAATCTGTTCCTGGATAACCTTGTTTCACTAAGGCCAACAAGACAACTTTCCAAGCTAATATAGCTGCTATAAAGACCAAACCCTGCTTATTTCTCAGCAGCATTAAAACATCTTTTTAGATGCTGCGCTCACTGAAGTCAGACTCCTCCTTCTGACTTTCAAGAGAGATAAAGATAGTTTTCAAGTATAAAAACATCACATATTAAACTTCTGAGATGCTATCATGGAATCTAGTACTGAGCAGGTATGAACACAGCCTTTAATTACTACGTTTAAAACACTATATATATGTAGTTCAGAATGTGCTTCAGATTTTGCTTTAGGCAAAATGGGCTCAGAAATGAAGTTTGGACTGAAACCTTGTTTTCAAACATTAGTGAATCACTCATGCAATGCAGATGTTTCTTCATTATGCAAAATAACACTCACAGGTCTTTCACATGCAAATACTTGCTAGTAAAATATGTATAAAATAATAATACTGTAGTAGTTACTGTTTTTCAGGGTTTTCCCACAGAACATGTGGGGTGTCTGCTCTCTTCCAAACGTTTCAACTTATTTTTAACATAGGAAAAAAGTCTAAAAACTTTTTACTTTTTTCAGTTGAGTGGGATTGAAATCTAAGTGCTTTATTTGTAGAAAGGGAGGTGTTTTCCACATTAATGTTTTGCAACTCTTTGTAAGAGGAAATAGTGACAGGACAAGGGGAGTGGCTTTAAGCTGCCCGAGGGGAGACTGAGATGAGCTCTTAGGCAGAAGCTCTTCCCTGTGAGGGTGCTGAGGGGCTGGCACAGGGTGCCCAGAGAAGCTGTGGCTGCCCCATCCTTGGCAGTGTTCAAGGCCAGGTTGGACACAGGGGCTTGGAGCAACCTGGTCCAATGGAAGGGGTCCCTGCCCGTGGCAGGGATTGGAACTATTTGAGCTCTAAGCTCCCTTCCAACACAAACCATTCCATGAGTTTAGGGCTCTACAGTTAGAGCAAAACATGGGTAACCTTAAACAGAAAATGGTATAACACAGACACAGCTGTGTCAGACCAAAATGTAAGAGTGGTCCCCATCACTTAAGCTGTGCACTGGGGAAGCAATATGCTGTGCTGCTGTTAAGATCAGCTATGTATTTTAGGGTGCACACCAGTTCTGATGCAAGAGGATTTCTTAACTAGTAGGTATTTATATGCACAGTGTTTTCCATGGGGTCAAATATCAGCTGGAGATCCAGCACTTCTCTCCCATTAATTCTGCTAGCTATGAAAACCACTATTTCTCTGAGTGAAGATGGGAGTTGTGGGTTGGGGGAGTCAAAGTCAACAATGTAAACAGCTTCTGTGAGCACAGTTCTTGATGGAAATGGAGAAATGATACACTCCACTAGCTCCAGAGACATGCAGCAGATTCTGATCTGCAGTTCAGATCCCAGTACTTTAAATAATGGCTTGTACACCAATAAATTCAAGCACTGCTTGATATGTAAAACCCCTGGATGTAACAGTACCTCCTTAAATTTAAAATTACATCTATCTATTCTATTTTTCCTATACAGAATACATTTTCAATAATTATAAATAAATACTCACAAGCATTTAATCACATATATACACACACAATACTAGTGAACCCCAAATGGCAAATAGGTATTTTGTTCTTAATGCTAAAAATCAATTGAAGTTTCCTGTAATCTTGTTAAATTCTTGTTTTGGAATAGCATACCTTGCTGCAAAGCACATTTGCTTAGCTCAGTACATAAGCATGCATTAGAATGGACACATGCTAAAATAACTTACTTTTTCTTCGGTATCTTGTTTTGGAAGGAAGTCAAAGAATCATTCCAATTTTCAACATAGACAATTATCCTCTGCAGAAAACTTTCCTTAATTGTCAATAATTGGATTATACCAAGAGAAGAGTAACAAACCCCCCTCATACTTGATTCCTTTGGTATGAGTTGCTAACTTGCTGATTTGTTAGAGAGATATTAGCACCCTTTTCCTTTTAATTATTCTGCAGTTAGTGTCCTCCTGCAGACACTGACCGTGGGGGAGGAGGAAATGGAATTGTGTCAAAGTGCAGTGTGCAACAAACAGTAAAACTGATCATTAAGAATGCCCTTAAGGCATAAAAGTGAAAACTCTGCTTACACTGAAAGATCTGATGCTGACAAAGGTTACTGGAAGTCAGTTGCTCTGTACTAGTGCTGAGAAAGAAAGGATTTCTGTGTATTGGAACACCTGCCTTTCAAAAGTGTTTGAATGATAAACAGGGTTTGAAGATAAGTAACATGGTGAGATTGTGTGATTGTCCTGTCTGCATTTACTGTCCAGCTCTGTCAGTACAAGAATTACTTGTAGCGTAGACAGGACTAAGGGTCATGATCCCACTTATTGATGAGTCAATTGAGCACTTAGACCTTGTGTGCTATTATTTTTAGTTCCACTAAAAGTTCTGTTGGAGAGAAGGAGGGAATTCATAGAGTTGAGCTTTGAGCATCTACAGGTGACTGTTGCTGGTGCTGTTGGATTATTTTCCTTAGATTGCAATGTATCTCCCAAAAAGAGAGACAAGGCTCTCCCCAAACAGGAATTTGGGTGGTGGGGGAACCAATTTCTCTTGACTACACTCAGAGTTTACTTTCTTAGCTGAAGTACCCACAGCTTCCACCGATCTAATCCTGCTAATTTACACTTTACAGTGTCTGACCTTGTAGTCAGCAGTGAGATTACTTACTGGTGGGAGAGGAAATGTTTCTTCATATACAGGAGGATAAGCAAAAAAACACCTATGCCTAACAAGGCTAGCTTCATAGCCTAATTATTTGCCCCCAAAATGAGATAATATGTTCTATATCTGCCAAATACCGTAAGTCATCCACCTTCTTAAATATTGACTTACCCTGTAGCTGCCAGGTAATTTATATACATTATTTCTTTAAAACAACAAAAAGCTTAAAGACAAGTTATACAGGTCTAATAATGCCATTCTTGTAAACTGGAGCACTGGCCAGAGAAAGAGGCTTTCTCCCTCCCCTAACACAAATATCCTCCATAAAACTGTTCCCTTCACTTGACTGCTTGTGTCAATAACCAGCCACCTGCTCCCACTGGCATTAGCAGCTGATTTGCAGCCCCACTAGAACCTTCAAACCTTGCCAAGCTGCCACTTTTCCTTGCCAAGAAATAAACAGCAGATGCTAGTTTGATAATCTTATAGCCAGCAAAAAGGCCAGTCATGCTCTTTAACAAATAAATTTTCCAGCGACTTTTCATTGAAGTTATTCCCCCCCCCCCAAACTTTCTGTACTATCCAAATTTTGCAACCTGTTACTTGCCTTCAATCCTGTCATCTGAGCCTTTCCATGCTTTTTGTCATCTATTTCTTTTTTTCTTTTAAGCATCTCTGCATCATCCCACATCAGTAGCTCTTAGGAGTTTCAGGGTTTCATTGATTGTGACATAATGAAACGTGCAAAATCTTTAGAGTAATCTTTAAGCCCTAGTTACTGGGATTCTCCCCAACAGTAACCAAGAGTCCACCACCATTCTGCCTTCTCCTTCCTCAGCCTTTCAAGGGATGCCATCCTTCCTTTGGCAACACTGTGAAGGAGGCACTCCCCAGTCATACATGTAGGAAAGCCTGAGCTTAACCTCCTCCTTACAGAGCTTTCCTTCTTTAGCCAGGGTCTGGTGCTTTTCCAGCATGTCCTCAATGCTTTGCTTATGAGTTACTATATACTTATTGTTGCAACCTCGTGACTTATACTCAGTGTCAAAGCGAGGGTCGTGCACTCTCTTCACGTCAATGGGAGCCAGCCACACGCCCAGGGAGACATCTTCACTCTGCCACATGTTCAGGTAGTCCCTACTAATACGCAAATAGTGCACCAGATCGGCAGAAATCACGTAACCACCACCCAGAGCATAGGGTAGGTAGTAGTCACAGAGCACCCAGGCACTCTCCTTCCATTTGCCACCAGATTTCACTCGACCGCGGCCGGAAAAGAAGCCCCAGTAGAGACGACGTGGCTCCTTGGCTCTCAGCTCTTCCACGAGCACATCCAAGCGGACAAAGGTATCGTCATCGGCCTTTAGGGCAAACTGAAAGTCCAGGTGCAGATCCAGCCACACATACGTGGCCAGGACTTTAGCAGTCAGGTTCTCGTAGGAATCCCGCAGCTCCGGCAGGAGGAGGAGGTCTCTGTGCCGGCTCTGCTCCAGCTCCAGGCTACGGAGCTCCTCTGCCCCGAGCCCCGCTGTGCCGATGACGAAGCGGCTCCAGACATCATCGTGAGGTGGGCGCCCTGTGCCCGAGAGCCACGTGCTTCGGATGATGCTGCGCCGCTCGCTGTACTTGGGGCCACTGGTGATGAGCACGGCCACGAAGGCGGTCTCCTGAGGGGAGGGCGGCGGGGCTGCGGGGGGGTGCGGTCCCCGGGCACCCCGCGGAGGCAGGGCGGCGGGCTGGTTGTGCGGGAGCCCGCGGGGGGCTGCCAGAGGACGGAGGCCCTCGGAGGTGCACTTGGCCAGGTAGAGCAGGACCACGGCGAAGAGCGAGAGCCCACCTAGGCCCAGGGCCGTCTTGTGGCGGCACAGCAGCCGCAGCGGCTTCATGGCCGCGGGACCTCGACCTCCCTTCCAGGCCCCTTCACCAAGGTTTAGGCGGGAACGGCAGAAGGCCGAGCCGCGTACGGCCGCCGAGAGGGGACAAGCTTCCTGCGGGAAGCCTCACCGCGCTTCGCCGTGCCTCAGAGGTGGTTTCATGCCTCCGGCCTGCTTCTCCTCGGGAAAGCGCCGGGACAGGACCAGTTCGGCTCCCGCGTACCTGCTGGGCCTCCCGCCGGGACTCGCTGTGTGCAGCCGCCGCTGCCGCTCCGCTCGCCGCTGGCCTGGTACGGGAAGGAGCAGGAGGCGTGGCCGCGCCCCGCACCACCTGACCGTAGACAGCGGCGCCTTGCGGCGGCCATCTTGGAGCAGGGCATGTGAAGCCAAGGCGGTGCCATTGTGGCTCCGGGCGCGCTGTGGAAGGCAGGGGAGCAAAGGTGGTTACCCTGTGGTGCGTGGCGGTTGCTCGTCCTTGTGGCACAGTTAGCACGTAGTCTTGTGAAAGGAGTTGCGTGTTAGGTAACGTCCTGATTCCATAAGGACTGCCAATACCGCATTATGTAGAGAAAACAGTAATTTAAGGGCTCCCAAGGAAAATAGGTGGGAAATAAGCGCAAAGCTGGAGATGGACGTATGGCCAGGGAAAAGCGTCCTGACAGGGAATTATAACGCCTGGAGTTCTGCTTTATTGTTAACTGAGGTAAAAAGGAGCACGGTTTGCTGAGGTAGCTTTGGAGAGGCTGTCTTCAGCACTGGAGCAGGTCCAGAGAAGGGCAACAAAGCTGGTGAAGGGCCTGGAGCACAACGATGAGGAGCGGCTGAGGGAATTGGGGAGTTTAGGCTGGAGAAGGCTCAGGAAGGATCTTACTGCTTTCCCCAACTGCCTGAAAGGAGGTTGTAGTGACGTGAGGTTGGTCTTTTCTCTCCAGTAACAAGTAATAGACGAGAAAAAATGGCTTCAAGCTGCACCAGGGGAGGTTTAGATGGAGCTGAGGAACAGTTCCTTCCCCAAAGGGTGCTCAGGGAGTCACTGACCCTCAAGTGTTCACACACTGTGTAGACGAGGTCCTCAGTGCCATGGGTTAGCGGTGGCCTTGGCAGTGCTGCAAACGGTTGGGCTTGATGATCTCCAAGGTCTTTTCCAACCCATTTGGTTCCATGTGAGGAAGGACGTTCAGCTCTTCAGCACTGAGCGAGTTCTGCCCGCTCTCCTCACCGGGCCCGCCGTGAAGGAAAATGGCGGCTGCCTCACCTCAGGGCGCTTTCTGCCCTGCTCCAAGATGGCCGCTGGCCGCCCCTCACGCACGCGCGGCGTCCTGACGCAGTTCCCGCGCAGCGCCCTCGCCCCCCTCCCGCTCCCTCAGGCCGTGCTCGTCGGGCGGGAGCGGGCTCGGGGTCGTTCCGAGCGGAGCCGCCGGGGCAGCGAGGCCGGGCCCGTTCCGTCTCGCTTCTCGGAGGCTGCTTCCCCCTCCTGCAGGAAAAGGGCACCCGGAGCTCTCGGTGAGTGCGTGCCAGGCTCCCCTTCTCCATCCGTGGCTCCTGCCCGCTGGCCGGGTGGGTTTTCCCTGTCCCGGGGCTGAGACTCGCGGCTGTGGGGGGTTTGTGCTCCTCAGCGCTCTAACGGGGTCCTGTGTGTGTGTGCGAACTCCTCTGTGGCAGAGGGTTTCAGACGCCGGCAGGCAGGGCATGACAGGTCCGCCCCTTTGGTTGCTTTTTCCTGCCGGCTGTTTCCTGCGTGTTTCCAGCTCCCCTTCCTGTGGTGGCTTTTATAACCCTGTGTCTCTCAGACTTTCCAAATTCATGGAATGTTTTGTGTTGGGAGAGAGCTTAAAGCTCATCCAGTTCCAACCCCCTGCCACCTTCCACTAGAGCAGTTTGCTCCAAGCCCCTGTGTCCAACCTGGCCTTGAACAGGGAAGAATTCCTTCCTAATGTTTAATCCACATCTCCCCTCTATCAGTTTAAAGCCCACTTGGCCAATCCCTACAGGCCCTTGTCAAAAGTCCCCCTCCATCTTTCCTGTAGTCCTCTGACAGAGGTTACAGTTGTCCAGGCTGAAAACAAGCACAGTTAATCACTTGTTGCATATTTATTATTTAACAGGCTTTTTAATTCTTTCATAGGAAATGTGTGTATAGATTCTGGATTTTAGAAGTTTTATTAATGATATAATGTTCTGGAGTTGAATTTGTCTCTGCTTTTTCCTTTTTGTTTTTAGATCATTTAATCCATTCACAGAGATTTAAGCAGCCAGTACTTTGAATTAAAAGGAAAAAAAAAAAATGATGTCAAGACAGGCCTTTCTCTGCAGTTTGGGATCTCTGTATTTGTCCCTTCTGTTTGTATTTCTCCTCATGGATGTTTATGCAAGGCCTGCAAATAATTCAGCCCTCAAAGAAAAGCCCGCTGACAGTAAAGATGAGAATGAGATCTTGCCCCCAGATCACTTGAACGGGGTCAAAATGGAGATGGATGGACACCTTAACAAGGAATTTCATCAAGAAGTTTTCCTAGGAAAAGAGATGGAAGAGTTTGAGGAAGACTCAGAACCCAGAAGAAATAGGAAGAAGCTCATGGTCATCTTTTCCAAGTAAGTTTATGTACGTTGCCACGAGCAGTGCAGCCTCTCTCTGATTTCAAGTAAAATTTGCAAGTTTTTCTGTAGTGCTCAAAACCTGTGATGATGAGGGGGAAAGCAGAATACTGTAAGCACTGTGTTCTTGTTACTAAGGTATTACCGTATCTGTGTAAACCGTCCTCAGGAGTGAGAATGGAATGGTATGATAAAACATACTGATATACGGGTGAGAGTGTGGTAAATAAACTTAACAGTTACTTTCTGTTCATAAAACTTCCTAGTAGATGCTGAGTGTCTAAAGTGTCAGTGTTTGAATGAAGTACATGAAGGGTAAAAATACTTGTGCCTAACTGCATATACCAAGAATGTGGAAATCCATGTGACAGTTTTCTGTATGAAGCGTTGTTAACATTTAATTCTTTAGAATTTAGAAAAGAGAATGAAGCATGAGAATAGAAAGATTAGTTTTTTCTTTTTGTAGCCTTTTCAAAGCCTGTGTCCATATCTTGGTGTAAAAATACTGAATTCTAGACATTCAAGCATTTTTTCTTTTTTAAAGCGTTTCTTGTGCTAGGTAAGGTTTGTGTGAGCTGATGAACTGTCAGGTGCTTGGAGGTCACTTAAAGTAATGGAATTGGAAATCGAAGTCAGTGCATATTTTAGGCAATAGGTGGCAGAATTTGCTTTGTTTGCCTTTTTGCAATGGAGGATTAATTTTATTAGAACAGTTTCGATTACATCGGTGCTTTTAATGCTCATGATGGTGTGGGGATGCACTTGAATGCAAACTTTTCATTAACAGGGAAAAAATATCAGTTATAACATTGGTGTTCTCCTGAATAAAGTTGGTAAATCAAACAGGCAAACCAGAGTGCCTTTCTCATATAGAGCAGAATCCTTTATTACTGTGTCTGCGCTTCTGACCACTCACTTCATTGGTAGGATATATCCAAAAATTAAGATTGTGCTCAAAAGATTTCATTTTCTTTATTGCTGTATGTTTATTGGAAACACTTAACGGGTGGTTAGTGATTGTCATTCACAAATTGCAAACTCCATTTCTGCCTCTTTGTGATGAAAGAGTCTTAAGCAGCTTAAAAGCAGTTGGATTCAAGATCAACTTCACTCGGATATAATTACATTCCATCAGATGATCAGATTAGAAATGTAGAAGAGCACTCTGAGGAATTCACTTGCTTTCTAGACACACTCTTAAAGGCTGAAAAGAGAAATAGTATGAACGTCTGTGGAAAACTAGTAAGTCTAAATTTGTCTTCACTGATATAGTTTAAATCAGCCTGGAATCTGTGGGTTCTCTATTGTGTTACTGTATGGTGTAGTTTGGCTTGTGAAGGTGGGTGTTGATAGCAGGGGAGGTGGAAGGATATTGAAAGCAATCAGGTGTGTTTATGGTAATGCTGATTTTGCTAAATCAATGGCATTGGGTACTAGGCTTCAGTTTGGTGCTTCTGAGGGTCACAACTTGTAAATTAAATTGCATGTACTGAACAAAACTGATGAAGTGAAGAAGTCTGTAATGTGTGTACTTTCTGACAGAGTGTGTTTGTGGTGATGGAGTTACCTCTGTGAGTCTGAAAGTTGCATAGCCTTCTATCAGTTGCATTTTGCTGATGTTTTCAGCTATTGGGTAGCTGTCCTAGTGGCGATTTAAAAATGGAAAGCTTTGTGTTAGCCAAGTGCCTTACCCTGATGGTCGTTCATCAGGACGCAGGCTTAAATAGCCTTCCGCTTGCTCCTGTGGTGTACAGAGGCTTTTTGGTTTTCATTCCCCTTGTTTAAAAGTCATAAACTTAGTCTTTCCTAAAGCAGAACTCCTGAATCCCCCAGTGCTTGTAAGTGTAGCTCTGATAGACTCCACAGCTGGGACTCTTTGTCTTTGGACTACAAGGGGAGAGTGGTTTGGGTAATATCCATGCCCCCTTTCTTAATTTCAGTTTGCCTTGTAGTCTGCCACAGCATTTATTTCTACTGGTATGCATTCTGTCTGTGGTGGGAAGGTGCTGGTAATGACAGCCAATGTTGGACAATAGCAGGTAGAATAAAGAATGAAGTGACATTTTAAGTATTCCCGTTTTAATATCTTTGGTTTAGATTAGATTTGTGTTAATCAGTTAAAAACCTGTTTATGCTTTATGCCATTGGAAGCTTTTAAGTGACGGGTGCATCCTGATTTGTGTTTTTCCTAACCCACACATTTAAATGTACATCCAATGCATTTTGCAACCTACCATCTAAAGTAGAGCTTTGCTTTGTTTTCTGTTCTTAAAAAAATCCTGGATCTGTGTTTCATTATTTGGATGAAACAAACCAATTCTAAAGTGATACACATTAGATACTCAAGGAAATAGTTATCGTTAGTCCTCTGGGTAAGAACACTGCCTTCCTGCTCCCCCCAGTATGTTGTAAATTGGCAAGATACCCTTGCTTGGATTCCTCTTGTTTTCTTGATCTTAAATTCTTTCTTGCCAGTACTTGTTCTTTGGCCTTTTTTTTTTAAGGAGCATGTTAGAAGGTACCACTCTTTACTCGCATCCTTTGTGTGCTCAGGCCTGTCTGCCTTAGAAAACTGATTGCCCATCTCAGTGTTAAAATCGATTTTCCATGACTTCCCAGTATGAGATTGTTCAGCCACGTGTAATTATCTAAGCTTGCCATTACTAGTGGAAACGTTTTCAGTAGCCTGTTCTGTATGAGATGGTTACCTGAGGAAGCATGGCCAGTCTTTTGTTTTTATTGCCTTAGGTGGTAACCTCGCAGCAGGACCACATCTGCTATTTCATACAGTCATTTATGACTCTTGGAAGCAGAAGTGCTGTTTATGGCCAGCAGAAGGATTTCAGCTCCCCTTGTACAGTGAATGTCTTTTAGTTCATGAAAATCTGAGTCACTGGAGACTTCTTGTGCTCTCTGGTAGCAGAACAGAGGTATACTTTCATGACCTACAAGAGCAATAAATGGGATGTTTCTTACCTTTGTCCCCAGTTACAATGTCATTTATATGGAAAGTACAGTTAGAGACTAGTGAGTTTGATAGCTTTGATCTAAGGAAACTAGGATGTTAAATGTTGAGGGAGAAATGCTTTGTTTTCTCTGCTCATTTTTGACGGTACCTGTTCCATATCACGCTCCACATTTATTCACGTGCACGTGCAGGGTGGTGGGAGTGGAGTGTGGCCATTTTACTGGTCTTGTCATACTGAAAAGTTACTAATAATGAACGTGCTCGTATGTGTGAGGAAAGATGTGATACAATATTTAAACCCACTCTTTCTGTATTTATTCTTAGAGCTAAGTATTGTAGAAGATTAGAGTTATTTGGCTTAAGCTTTTAACATTTAGTTGACATTTAAAAGGAAATCACATTTAATAACTTGAATTTCAATGATAACACTTAAGTACTGCTAAGACAGCAACACAAACAGATAAAAAAGCCAAAGTTAAGCTGTTTTTTTGTGTGTGTTTGTCTTTTTTTTTTTTCCCCTCTTCTTTTGTGTGTGTGTTTATGGTGGTTTGTTGTTCTTATTGAACAAGAGTGTTTTTGGTGTGCTCTAAATAGAATCTTGCCTCCTAAGTGTTAGTGATGGCTTTTTGATTTTAAATAATGTATTGTTTCAGAATAAATACTTAATGATATCCTCAGAAAAAACAAACCTTTGAAGTGGCATGTTATGGTTTTGTGTTTGGTCTTCAACTGTAATTTGTGTATTATTGCATTTTAATGAAATACCCATTAATGGAATTGCTGGTGTGGCAGTGCATCTGAGTACAATAAAGCAGTATTGGTAGTCCATCAAGGAATAAAATGGGTTGTCAGATTGGATGTTTACTGATAATTTAGCTGCGTTTCACCTAAATCCACTGTGCAGGCTGGAAGGGCTTATTCTCACTTGTCTGTATGGACAGGTGAGGGTCCAAGCGGTAGGTGACAAAGCGCATGGGAAGCTGCAGATCCAACGTTTTATGTGGGTGGACCAGTGCATGGGTAACTCGAGTTAGCTCAGGAGTTGACAGTCGTGGTCGGACACTTCCTGATTGCCTAAGCAGCCTTTTTTTTCCTACCAGATTTGGATACCCCACATGCCCTTGGTCATCGTGCTTGTAGTATTCGTGGTTAAAGCCCTTCCCAAATCTTCGCTTGCAAAGCCAAGCGGTCAGTCGGGTAGAAAAAGTTTAGTTCTGTAGCTCAAAGTATTAAACAGTTTGGAAGTCCTTGCTCTATATTTTCATAGAATCACAGAATACCAGGTTGGGAGGGACCTTAAGGATTGCCTGGTCCATCCTTTCTTGGCAGAAGTACCATTTTGCTTGTTTTTAATGGTTGTGGCAGTTGACACCTAGGCAGGCACAGGGAGGCAGCTCTTGGAAGATAAAGGTAAAAAGGACTTAGAAAGATAAATTGAGGTAATGTTAGAGAAGAAATTTTTCAGTCATGACAGTCTGCAGCAGCTGGCAGTTGGCAGTTCTGAACTAATATGAAATAAACTAATTTGGTGTATTTCTGGTTTCCTGTACTTCAGAAATTTACTGAAAAACCTAATATTGAAATGAGTTAACTTACACCAAAGTGAAGTATGGCTGAATGCTTTTCACTGGGTAGTAACCTAGGTGTTGTAATGACTTAAGTTTAATTACGAAATAAAGGACTAACTTGCTACTTGTACATTCTTTGAAATATAAACACCTTCTCAGAGAGGGTTATAAATACTCTTTTCTATAGCAACCTATATTACTGTTGAATAAAGTATATAAGTTACAATCTAAAAATACATTACATCTTTGTCCCCGTCAGTCTCCAAATCTAATTCTTGTTTGCTGTTCATCTGCAGGGTGGATATAAATAATGATAAAAAGATAGGTGCCAAAGAGATGCAGCGCTGGATCATGGAAAAGACAGATGAACACTTCCAGGAAGCTGTGGAAGAGAATAAAATGCACTTCCGAGCTGTGGACCCTGATGGTGATGGTAAGATGAATGATTTCCTCCATCTCCTGATGATGTCTTCAGTCTCTTGCCAGTAGCCAAACCTGCTCTTCAAATGTGCTGTGACAAAATGCAAGTTCTTTTGGTCTGCATGTAATCATGAGATTTGATCCCTACACAAGACAATAAAGCAAAGAAGTAACGTGCTCCAGTCAGAGTGGTAGTTCTGTATTGTCTGTTGTGTTATTTCACTTGTGGTCATAGGAAATTATGGCTCTGCCAGGGATGGGGTAAGGATGGTGACAAAAATGGCTTATTTTCACAAGGCCTGTGTGGCCTAAAACATAAATTAGGTGATAATTTTCATATTGCCATTCATAAAGCTTAATGTGATGGTTATAGAGGTGAGCCAAAAGAATTTAGCACCTACTATTTTAAGTGATAAGAAAGTTTGTTGTTAAGCATGTGATACCGTGTCTGAGATATGGCTCTTTCTTACAGGCCATGTGTCCTGGGATGAATATAAAATTAAATTTTTGGCAAGCAAAGGCTTTAATGAAAAAGAGATTGCAGAGAAGATCAAAAATAATGAAGAGTTGAAAATAGATGAAGAAAGTAAGTGCAGAGCGTTGGTGTATGTTTTTCTTTTACATTCCTAAAACCTGAGTGTCAAAACTGTTCTTAAAATGAGATTAATGTTTCGTTATTCTGCTTCTTCACAAATACAGACTGTGTAAATCATTACACAGAAACACTAGATTTCTTTCTAACTCAAATCTACCTTAACACTAAAAAAAAATTAATTGCTTAATTGTTACTGCCTGTTTGAATAATTCTCAGGTAGTTACATTTAAGAGTCTGCCAAAATTTGTCAGACCTGTGTTGTCTGTGAACCTTTACATTGTTAATTGAGGAGCTAGGACCCTTCTTGCTCCAAACGAAAGGGACCTGCTATAAAGAATTCTGTTCTAAAATTGAGAAGGGGTGCATGTGCTACCAGTGTTACGTTTAAATAGGTGCGGGCTTAGGCACTGCAGAGCATACTGGAATAGCAGAAGGTTGCCTAGCAGTTATTTCATCTGAGTTTTCTTTATAGAGAATGATTTTTTAGGTTAGTGAGATTGTTTCTTCCTTATTACTTCTGAAACTTTCGATTGAATCTGGCTTGTTATAAACTTGGCAACAAGAAAGTAATCTCTCTGCCTCGCCATCTAAAAGGGTTTTTAAACTTACTGTTAAGTAAAGCACGCAACCTTAGCCTTTCCTTGCAGGAATTAGTCATTTTAAAGTGGGTTATGTTGTTATATTTTCCATTTATCAAAAAGCAACTAAAATGCAAATGGGCCTTTGAGTTTTCTGGCAGGGAAAACACCTGTGCAGCGTATTCTATGGCAGTGTGGTTAACTGCAGTTTACAGGAATGCTCATCAGATTAAAGATTTGCTGAATAAGGGAAATGGGTACATAATCTTCTTTCTACCTAGGTAGCAAGCATTGTTTGGGAAAGTCACATTAGTTGTCTACTGCTTGCTGAGGAGGATAGGCACAACTTGTTTTCATGCTATAATGCAATGTAAAGGTACTTTTGTTTTGGCCCGTATAATAAAAAAGAACAACTTGTGGATCTTAAGGTATGTTCTGAGTCCTGCACAGAAGCATGCTGCAGTTTGGGTGCCAGGGCAAAACTAGGGACACAACTTCATTTAACTTAGGGTTAAATAAAGGTTTCAGTGATGACTGACAGTTGAGTTTCGTTTAAGGCCGAGTAGGAAAGGTAGGCAAAAGGGAGACTGACTTGTGACTTCTAACAGTTGGGGTTGGCTACACTGGAAGACCATAAGCAAGTGATTTGTTTATTCTGTGGTTACTTATGTCCTTGGCGTAACTAAAACTTGCCTTTTACAAGCTTGCCCTAAGATTCATATTCAGTCTCTGAAGGTTTTCTTCACTCTTCACAACAAAACATTCACTGAAGACTTAACTCTTCATTGCAACTGTATTATTGCAATTAGTAGTGTAAACTCAGCAACCAAGAGCATGCAGGAGCTATTTAAGATAGTTTATTAAAGTAATAAAAAAAGTTTGTATGAAGACTGTAGTCTTTCAGAGTGTTTTTAAGACTTGCGAGCAGCAATTGCTTCAGCTTTGTGTTTGTTAGTGTAGTTTGCAGATACGCAGCGTGTGTTACAGGCAGTATTTTTTCCACTGTGTCATTTAGAAAATGCCTACACCAGAAAAAGAATACCCTGCACACAGGTGTTTTTTCCCTGTTTAGTTATGTTCGGGACCATTAAGTACACATAATGTAGAAAAAATGTAGAAAAAAAAGATGTTTTGTTCAGAAGAAAGGTACTAAGGTACTACTGGTATTCAGGCAGGCAAAAGTTTTCTGTTGGTAATGGGCTTCAAAATATGAAATTAAGAATGGAGAGCAAGTTGGATTATTCATACCTCCTACCAGAACCAGCTAACAGTGCTGGTAGGATGATACTTTTCACTTGATATGCTGAGGTTTGATACTGGTGTAGTTAAATCTTTGCTTTCATCCCTAATTTCAGTTTGGTTATTTGGTTAAAGGACCTTTGCTAGCACAAACTAGACTAAACTAATTGCATTTTGTTTTCCTGCTTTCCCTGGGTGTTGAGCTGGTCATCCTTGCTTAAACAATTCAGTGTCAGAGGAAGTTATATTTGAAGAACTTTAAGTAGATTGAACATGATAGCTTTAATCTTCTTCTTACATTTCTAGCACAGGAAGTTCTAGATAACCTGAAGGATCGGTGGTACCAAGCTGACAACCCACCTCCTGATCTGATGTTGAATGAAGAAGAGTTCTTGTCATTTCTCCATCCAGAGCATAGTAGGGGGATGCTGAAGTTCATGGTGAAAGAAATCATCCGAGATTTGGGTATGCCAACTCTCTTTCTTGAGAGTTGTTTAATTGCAAACCATTTTATTGGGTAGGTGTTAGGTCATTGCACTGTCATGGGTCTATCTGAAATTTTGGCATATCTTAATTGCTCTGTTCTACATGCTTTGTAATGTGGTCAGTAAGAAAAACAAACTGTTAATGCTGTCATCTCTGGAGATGTCCGTGCCTCTCTCAAGACTAGTCTCTGGATGTTAAAGAACAGCACAATATTTATTGTATATTAGAAAGATACACTGAATACTTCTACAAAGAAGTTCAGCTGATGCTGCATCACTCTGAAGTGCTTCTGCACTGGAGGGTCACTGTAGCAACAGTAGAAAAGGTTTTGTAAGTAGTAACATACTGTAAAATACATTCATGTGAGTGCTCCATGAGGAGGGCAGTTATAGTTTCATATTTCCCCAGCCCAGCAACTGAGCAAGAATTGGGATGTACAGTCCTGAATGTGGAAAGTAATGGTTGAAGTTCCTAAGAAAATAGTATTTTTTTTCTTAAATTCATAAGTATTGGCACTTTTTTTTCCTATTGAGTCACTAGTGATGCTTATTTAAACGGTTAGAACACCTGGAGTAAAGAGAAAGAGAGCTATGACTTTGCTAGTTGTTAGCTTCAAAAATATGAAGACTTTCCAGTGATACTTATGTGAAGCACACAGCCAAACCAACTCCAGTACAGTCATTTGTGAGGGGTAATTTATGTGAATGTTAACACGAGGGGAGACTGGATACAGCTGCAAGAAATGTCTGTTGCGTGGATTGTAGATTAAAAAAGAAAAAGGCTTAACTTGCCGCCTGGTGTGTCCTTCAGATCCAGAAAGCCTCTTATTGATTCGTCTGTTCCTATGTTTTTTAGCCTTCTAAAACATTGTATGTATGCCATAACGCAGAGAAGTTTTGGCTATCCAAAGCTATAAATGGAAACTATTCTCTGCTACAGTCAGGGTTGTGGACTGCTGGAACCAGGCAGACTGTACCAGTGACATCTCAGACAGGAAGGAATTTCTCAGTGGGCATTCAGCAGACACTTTTCACTTCCTCTGTCCTTCTGTTGTAGATCAAGACGGAGATAAGAAACTCACCCTTTCAGAGTTCATTTCATTGCCTGTTGGTACTGTAGAGAACCAGCAAGCTCAAGATATTGATGATGACTGGGTAAAAGACAGGAGAAAGGAATTTGAGGAGGTGATTGATGCTAACCACGATGGTATTGTCACAATGGAAGAGCTGGAGGTAAGTCTTCCTCAAACAGTTCTAGTGCTTATAAAGCCAATAGCAGGATTTTAAATACAGGATTGAAACTGTTTTAGAGAGTATGACGTCCAAAAATATTTGAATTAACAGTGCAGTGTGTGTGTCTACTATGGATTATAGTATAGTTCTGTAGTGCTTGCAGATAGTGTTATACTTTTTGTTAAAGCAGAGGGGAAGTTTTTGTATCCTAACTGTTATTCACAGGTATGCTTTTAGTTTTTTTTTGTCACAGAGACACTTACATGGGTATGGAGCATATGAAAGCAAGTCACAACCTTCATCAGGTGCCCTGGGTAATGGGCAGTGAGTCATACTTTCAGCTGCAAAAGGAGTAACGGGCAACTTATGTATTAAAGAAAACAACCCCAAAATAAACCATAAAAGCCCCAATGACCAGCAAACCTTGGGGCCCAGGAGCCTAGAAAATAGCAGAGATCTCTTTTAGAGTGTTTTTCAAAACCCTTTCTTCTATTAATTCTGTCTGCAGAAGAGTCTATGAAACAACACAAAATACTTTGCACCCTGTAGTTGTGGCAGTTTTGTGGCCAATGGAAGAGGTTTGTGGTTCACTTCTGGCTTTTTTCCCTTTCTGGCTGCAGGAATATACTTTGAGTAGCAGAATTCATACTGCAGCATAGGCAGGTGAAAGGAGAACCTCTCAAATGTTCATCTTCTCCCTGAGACAGGGTGAATGTTGAAAGTCAAAAGCTCAGGATGCAAATAACGTGGGTATGAACATAGTGGTAGTATGGATAAACAGTTGTTTTGTAACATAGTCAATGTTAAAACCTTTTAATGGATAATTTTCTTCTAAAAATAGCCATTTTAGTGTGAAGTCTTTGTATACGTGTCTGCACATAGACACATGCTCTTACATATGTCACGTCTGGAAAGAACTGAAGATGATCTTAAGTCTTTTACATCATGAGCTAAAAGTGCACTGCTTGGAAACGATTTATCTGTTTCAGGTTAGGTAAAGGAGCAGAATGCTTTGTTTCTGAGACTTGACCTCAGAATGTCTGCCTGTAGGTTTAAAATGAAGCAAGACAGTTTTAAATCCAACATCATTCTAAAAACATATGTAAGAAACAAGAAAATACATCTGTATTGGTCATGCAGATCAGTAGCATGCCACTTTTTCATTTTGAATTGGCATTTCTTCACAAAACCCCACCAGATTTGATAGTTCAGTTTTCAACCAGTACGTCAAAGATATTTTTATTGTAGACTTTGACATAAGCTGTGAGAAAATCTGGATTTCTGTTAGAACAGCCAAGGGAGCAATGAATGGAAAAATAGCAAAGAGAACAGAAGCAAGCCCGTTAAAAAGCTGTGCTACCACTTTTTTCCATGACTTATGTTCACTTTGGGATGGCTTAGTTGGTCTCATAATTGCTGAAGCTTATCTAGAGCTAAGGTTCATCATTCTGATGTGTAGGAACGTTGTGCTTAGTCATTGACAATCGTTTTCTTATTTGCTTTAGGAATATATGGATCCTATGAATGAATACAATGCCCTAAATGAAGCGAAGCAAATGATAGCAGTAGCAGATGAAAATCAAAACCATCACTTAGAGCTGGAAGAGATCCTGAAATACAGCGAGTACTTCACAGGCAGCAAGCTTATGGACTATGCACGTAATGTCCATGAGGAGTTCTGATCCTGCTCGCTTTTCCAGAGCTCTGAAGCACTTTCTTGTTTTCAAAAAAATAAAACCCCAGGAAAAAAAGGAAAAGAAGTCCAACTCCCAAACAGACAAAGTTACTTTGCTGCTATCTGTGTTATATGCCTACAGTGTGTTGTCCTAGACTAAAACATAGTCCGTCCGTACATAAGATCTACAGCACTGTTGCCTTCGGTATGAGGGAAGAAAATGACCGTAAATGATGGGGCGGGTCCTGGACTACATGAGTTCACCCTGGTTTGTACAGTTAATCCCGCTGAAGTTTCAGCTGCTTTTGGTTAATCATGTTTGGTGGAGGCTTAACTATTTAACTCTTCTTGTTGCCCTCATAGCTGCTGATCCATGGAAATCACAAATAACACTGAGAGATGCTGGCTTTCGTAAAGGCAGTTGTGGTTCACATACATGTGTTTTGGCCCTGTGAGAGTATCCATGTGTAGACTGATTTGCTAGGATTTTTCTCAGTGTGTCTCAACCTACTTGTGTATTGTTGAGGATTTAATACTTTTTAATAAGTTCTCTCTCCATTGCTAAACTATTCCTAGGAGCTGTGGGGAAGAACTTACTTTAAATGTTGGAGAGAAGCTGTTCTGCTTCTGGTTGAAAAGGAAAACTGGTTTTATAGTGTGGCAGGATTTGAGTTTGTGACTGCACTGGGAATGTGGGAAAACGGCTTATGTATTTCAAAATCAGATTTCATTCTAAAATGAAGCGATGTGGAAGGTTTCTTTGTGGACTTAAAGACATTGGAGAGAGCAGTAGGATTCCCTTAGGTGTATGGTTACTACTTGACTGGAGTTCATTGTTAAACCTACTAAACTTACTTGCCTCTGTCCAAATGAATGATGCTGATGAACTTGTGTATGATGAAGCTGGCAGAAATACAGGCTTTGCTTTTGAACTGCTCCCGCCAGAGCAATGTACAGTCAGCGCTTGGGAACCTTTTTAATCTGTCTGGTTTTGGGTAGTCTCTGAAAGCATCTTGCAACACAAGGGTCATATCCACTACTGTCTAAAACAGAAAATGTATTTTTACTCTGGTTCCATCTTTACTGTAACAACCCCTCTTTTGGAAGGGTTGCCTGAAAACCAAGTGAGATGTTATATTTGATTAAATTTATTCTCTTAATATAATGTAAATATAAGTATTGCTGTCTGTTTCTGTTTCACTATTCCCTCTCTCTTTTTTTTTATTGGATTTTTTTGGTTATTTTTGTGAAGTGGCTTGTATCAGAGTCTTTTTATATACACTTCTATCTTTTTCTCATTAAATACTTTTCTCTGTGCTTTGGAAATGTTGCTGGGTTTAGGTTTGTCAGTGAATAGGAAAAACTGGAATTCTCCAGAGTACAAAATAAGACTTTTGAAAGAACTGTAAGGTTGGGTAAATGGGATAACTTCAGCTGATAAGCTCATGTTGAAATGAGCTCAGAGCATCTGCCATGTAAGTCAGACTCTGCTCCCGTCCACCCGTTACCAGCGCTCCATGTGCACTTGGTTGCAGGTTAGTGAGATTTTCGTATAGACAAACCCGTGTCTAAAAATGTGATGCTTAATACAAGTCATAGGGAGGGCTGGTTTAGACTGACTGGCAAAAGGTCTAGCTTTTGCTTTGCTGTTACTTATAAAGCCTTGGTTAAAATACGCAGTGACCTGCACTTCAAACTAAACAAAATGAAGCGCGTGAACATAGTTTTGCGAGTGTTTTGTTCACAATCTAGTCAAGACAAAGGTTTTAGCAATATCAGTTGATAATTGTATAAATGTCTGGGCTGCGTCCTTGCGTTATACTCCAGTTGTTTGTACAGTTCAGTTAGTTAGATATAATTTGAATGGACAAGTTCCATCTTGTCACACTTGCTGCTCAGAAAGCAAGTTCCAGTTTGCAGCTGAAATAGGAGGAACTTTGTCAATAGAGGCAAAGATTATGCATACACAGTCTTAATCTTCTGATAATGTGAGCATGGAACCCCTTGGGAAATACAAGGTACCACAGTATTTAGCTAGCAACTGCAAAAATACTGAAGTATGTAGTGTTGTTGCAGCTGATAAATCTGAAACTTGAGGAACAGCTGCCAACCCCCCCCCTTTTTTAGTGTATGCATGGAGTTCCGCACCTTACCGTGTTTTGTTTTTCTCTGCCAGAAATCAGGATCGCTTCTTAACTAACAGCTGTAAGGATAAAGTGGACTGCATGGTGAGATTTGGAGGTACATGAAATTTATTCCTGTCTTAGAAATTCAGACTATTCCAGGTTGTCTGTAGACTTATTTTTAAAGAACCTTCAAGTGTTTTATGTGCACTCAGTCTTTCTCAGATTCTGCTGGGTCCTTTCCCATTGGAAAACCCTTACTTGCCTGTAATCCCTAAGGAATCCAGTGGCTTTCTCTTTAAAGCCTTTTATTAAGGAGTGCTTTTGAGTTTCATGCTTTTTGCCTGTGTACATGAAGAAAGATAATCTGCCTACTCTTAATAGGACTTGGTATGTGAAGGCTATGTTCTCATGGATTCAATTTCATCTTTAAGCTTGTATAGAATAGCTAGAATAAGTATCTGTAGTAAAAAATGATACACTTGCATTAAATGAAAGCAGAAATGGGTCTTATTTCTGACCCATACCATGGTTCAAGTCACTTCTATGATGCTCCCTTCTACAACCCAAGTAGCTGCATCAAGGCTCTCTTTTGAGAGCAGCCTGTGGTGCACATGATCCCCGTGGGAATGCCAGGCAGCATTTGGGAGGGGTTAGTTTGCTTTGGTGAAAATCCAGCCAAGGAGTGTGCTAGATGTGAAATGCTATGAGATAATCACCGTGTTCTCTCCCTGTCTTATTTACTTGAATAATAGTAAATTATATCCCCCATGTAAAGGGATCTGGCAATATCAAACCTCGTAACACTTAATGATGCCATACGTAAAGGTTGAATTCTGAAGATGGATTTATTAAATGAGCATTTAATTTGTATTTAAGTATCTGTAACAAAAATATCAATGCGTCATCATGGCTGCTCTACTGTTTTGGGAGCTTTCAGTTTAAATGTGCACAAGTTTTTAACCTTACCTTTTTTGTGAACATCATGGCAGTTTGCATTTTCAGGTTCTAATTCAGTAAGTCAGTAATTATTCACTAGGTAAAGTCTGAAAGATTGCTGGGGGAGGGAGTCTGGTTGAATATTGCTGAGGGAATGATTTGAGTAATGAGGTATAAACCCACTTAAATGGCATTGAGTGTAATCTTGCAGTGGGAAGAGTGGGTCTGGCTGTGTTTAACTGCTGTTAACACAGCATCTTTGATCACTGCAGGATGTCTTGTTAACGTGGGCCTTTTCATAGAAGTTGCTCAGGTCTCTTAGAACTAGAAGACCTAAAATTCGGATCTGAGATCAATAAGATCAAATGAGTAAAATTCTAATAGTGAGCCTGGAAAGATTAAAACCCCTAGTTCCAAGTGTGATCACTACTTTCTCCATGTGCTTGTGGTAGGTGAGGGCAGGACTGCCTTGCCAGCATGCTCCTTTGCTATCCTGTTGCTGGCTTGCACAGCTGGATGGAGAATCTGCCTGGGGTTTGTATTCCAGAGTTAACATGCTTCTGTGGAACAAAATAGACATCAGAAGCAGCTGGTACGTGAATATGGCATCCTTTGCTGTCATACAGCACGCCTCTGCTGGAACATTTAATTCCATGGGAGGAAATAGCGTCTCTCTCTCCAAAAGTATCCGTTTTGGAGTTGGAGCTTCCTTTTCTTTAGCGGCAATGCAGGGTGTCTGATACAGAGTTGAAAAGGAGACTGTAAATGCTTCTTTGTAGCTTTTGCTAGCTCCTGAGGGCAGTATCAAGATGACTGACAATTTGTGATTCCACACTCTTCCTGAGAAGAGAAACAACAGAGTATTAACAATGTTGGGTTTTTATGCCGCAGTGAAAGTTACGGGTCTGCTGTTAAGAGTGAGAGCAAGGGGAGCTAATCTGTGCTTTGCCTTTTAAGGAGGAAGCCCATGTGGGCTCTGTTTCATTTTACCTGTGGCTTTCATATGTGAAGGTTTTCAGGCATTACCTCTGTATTGCTTTAATACTCCTCTTTACAGTCACATGGATCATCTCTTTAGCTCTCCTGGCATTCAAGGGCTGTGTTTAATTCTGTTCTACGTAGAGAGGTATGTACCTGGCTGAAGGCTCTCTGTTTTAAAGCTACGAATAGAAACTCTTTCCAAATGCTGTTCACCATATTGTCTTTTTTGCCTAAGTATATTTTAGTTGTGAACTGCCAAAAATAGGTAAGGGAGGGGTGGGAGTGGGAAAAAGGATGGGGGCGTGGAACACAAGCTGGGAATTTCCGAGCAACTGACATATGAACTTGTTCTGATCACCAGTGAGTTACAATCTCTTCTCCTAGAGTTTGCAGCTATCAGAATTTAGCTGGGACAATAGTATTATGGGAGCTGTAAGATTTTACTCCCGTTTTTCTACTGTTTGGTTGTTGCTGCTGGCAGTCAGTATTAGCCACTGCTTGGGATTGAAATGCAAAGAACATCAATATCCTTTTCGTGACAAATGCTGCAAGGAGTGTGCCCCTGGTAAGTGATTTTGGATGTTGCTTATACTTGCTCAATATAATAGCTATCAGTTAATAAAATACAGCTTGACGGAAATATCGTTCAGATGTAGGAAGCATAACATGGTGAAAAAGCATTTGATGAGACTTTCAATCAGTCTAGACTGACAAAGATTATTTCCATAACATACTAAATTTAGGAACCCCCTTTGGAAGAGCTACATGTTCTTTAACTTCTTTTGTGTGACTGCTTCCTTAATGTGTCAGTCTGGTGCATTTTATTGTGGGAGTATTAGCTGAGAAAAGATGTTCATGTTTTATATAAATGCTCTCAAGAGCATTTATGTTACTGTCTTTTACCTATTGCATAAAGAAGCTCAGAAATCTTGTCTAATGGAGAACTTTAGGTATTTAATTCTGTTGCTGCAGATGTTTTTGAAGCTTATCTTTTGAAGCAAAGTTTATGCTACATAAGACTTGGTGGGTTTTAAAGGAAAAAAATACGCTTGATTCATAGCAGAGATTAGGAAAGCATAACTTGACAGGAAATGTGAGCATCCTCCGTTCTTGTCGAAACTGAATGAGGCTGAATTTTGGGGTTTGCATGTTATTTCCCCACAATCTGAGTATCTCTGAAGGCAGTGCAATATTAAGAGGCACGAATGCAAAATAGCAAACCTCAAATACTCTAATAGTTGGGATTTCATTATAGAAATTACTCGGTGATGAAGAGTAACAACAGTTAACAGGTAATACTGCTTTTGGAGGACAGCCCTCTTAACGTAAGGGATTACTTGTAGTACTGTCAGTGTTGACTGTATTAAAAGAAGGGTACATGTACGTGCCTAGGGGGAGCGTAAATTGTGTCTGTTGGCAAATCTGCCGCTGTTGGGGAAACGTGTCGTCATAGGTTGTGTAGAGAATAAAGATATAGAAGTGTATTACAATATTGTAGTCATTAAAAACCTCCTGTGTTTTGCCACTGATAGTACTCACTAAAACACGGAGAAAATTAGAGTGAGCAAGAGACTTGATGCTCATTGTTACCTGCAGAATGGGGAAATGGAGAACCAAAATGAAAGGAAAGGTCTGTGAGAATAAGGATGTATTTAAGCTCAACTGTAAACCCCCAAGTAATTAAAACTGTCTGTCATTCCTGCATGGAGAGAAGCTAGTGAGATAGGAGGAACATACTTGACACCTTTTCCAAACTCCACTGGTAACTTGCTGTTTCAGTTTGGGCACGCAGACCTTGTCATCCTAGCACATTAATCTGAACCTCCGTGTAAGTACTGAGTATCATTCAGTTTGGAATTTGTTGGTGCTAGCTCTCAGAGCTCATTTCTATATGCCTCTTATGATACAGGCATACTGTCTGGAATGGTAACAAATGCCTTGCATTGTGTCTTGCTGTTCGTGAAATGGAGCTAGTAACATCTTTGATATTGTTAGGTGCCAATACAGATTAAAATACAACCACATTCTTTCATGCCTAATGGGCTTTCAGAATGTCAGCAGGAGATTCTCCAACCATTTATACTTGGCTGCTTCACTAATGAATTTTAACTGCAAACCTGAGCAGTCCATTGCCATCTTCTGTACCTGTTTGGGATCGCTTTGGGTTGAATTGCTTGATTTGTCTTGCAAGGGAATGTAGGGTCGGTCTTAAAGCCATTGTATTACATTGGAGATCAGCCATATTTCCAGCTAAAAGCCTGTCATCAGGCCCTTGTAGCCCCTTTTAGCTGCTTAATTTGCAGTGATGCAATGGGTCAAAACTTTTGCGGATTCCAGCCTATTTAAATCTGCTGAATGTTTTCAGCCAGAGTTGTAAGTGGAACTGTTAGTTTCTGGGCACTCTTCCATTCTAATGCATGAAAACAAAGAGCGTTTCCTTCAGCTAATAATCAGTGCTTCCTTGTCCTTGTTTTAGGTGAAGAAATGAGCTACCGCTGCACTTCAACAACAGACACAGTCTGTGTCCCCTGTAAAGATGAATACTTCAGTAGTAAGCACAATCTCGAGTTCTGCCATGTTTGTACAGTCTGCAACACTAGTAAGTCAGCTTATAGCGGGCCCTTGATTTTGGGTTTTGGGGAAGCAATCGGGTCTTCCTATGCTTTCTTTTCTTTGCATGCCCCTCAAAGGCTTATGATGCCGTAAAGCCTGTCACTTGAGACAGCCAAGTCCAGAACTGGGTTATCGTTTCAATAGCTGATGGTTGAGTCTTCAGAGAGAAGCAGGCTTGTACTGCCGGAAAACTGGTGTCTTCAGAATTGTTAATAAACTATTCTCTGCAGTTGTTTCTGCACACAACAGATAGACACTGAATAATTCTGTTATTTAATTCCTTAACTTCTTGTTTATCACTTGCCCTTTATTCCACTGTTGCTAGGAAAGGGGAGTGTGGAAGTGAAGAAGTGTGAGAAGACCTCTGACAGAATTTGTAAGTGTGTGGCAGGTTATATGCCAGATGCCAGAAGCAAACTGAGACATGGTAAGTTAGTGGTGTGTCAGACTCCAAACTCTTGCTCCCACTTAAGAAGGTTGTTATTTCTAATGTAAAAGCTATTGTCATTTGTCTCATTGGTATCTCCACACGAGTGTTGCAGCAGGGTGGTTGTGTGGACTGTTGCTCTGTGATTCCTGAGCTGTCAGAAATCTTAATGCTCTCTTGTTAATATCCATAATCAGTCAGTAGAGAGATCAGGAAACCTTGCCCATTGCAGACTAAAATGGACCACTAAGCATGTTATGATACTTCTGACTCAGTGGCTATAGATTTTAGAGGCTATATGGGTTTTCTTGGCTCTGGTCTAAAAGCTAGACTACTAGTATAAGCTGTTAGTGTAGTTACTGTTTAGCTGTCGTACAATTATGTTGCTAACTGACCTCAAATTCTGCCTCTTTCTTTTTTTCTAGAATGCTTACCATGTCCTGAAGGGTCTTATTCCATAGGGGGTTATGAGAAGTGTCAACCTTGGACCAAGTATGTATCACTGATCCAGTATGTTCAGAGCAACATTCTATGCTTACTTTCAGTTTACTTCTATAGCAGTTGCTGCCTAAATCATGGTGTGTAGAGAAAACCTGCATTAAAGTCATTACTACAACTGTTTGAAAATAACACTGATTTGTCTTACATCTTTAGCTGCAGCCTTCTTGGGAAAAGGACTCTTCGACCAGGGACGAAAACAGATGATGCTGTTTGCAGCAGCCAGATCCCACAGGCAACTGCCTCTCAGAGTACAACACCTGCTTTGAACCTTTCCACCACACACCACAAGAATAATACATCAACTGCAGCGTTCTCACCATCCAGACCCAGCCTGATTCCTTCCATTTGTTTGGATACAAACAGCCCCATGGCGACTAACTGGGGTAAGGAGAGGGAATGACCAAGTGTAGTCTCTCTCTTTATTACTAGAGCTTGCCAGGAATTTAATGGAAATGAAACCACACTCTTTCTCAGAAGCTATATCTGTATTTTATACAGTCTTCAGTGAGACACAGGTTTTCACGTTACTTCCCCGTCAGCTTGGCAGCTGGGATTTTGTGTAGGCTGAGTGGTTCAGGGGTACTTCGGGACATCTAGGTTCCTTTTGAATCTGGGAAGCCATGGAAACTCCCATTAGAGCCATGAATCTTTCTTAGTGTGGTGTTCTTCTGTTTTTCTTACAGGGTCTGTATCACTTATCTTTATTTGTCTGATATTGCTCATGGTGAGTGGAATGTCCATCCTCCTGTTGATTATCCAAGCAGCCAAAAAGGAGACCAAGAGGAGGCCCCATAGAAACAACCATAATGGTGAGTTTCTTTTTATATGGAAAAATGTATAGGAGAGAATAGTCAGGGCCCCTTGTTTGAACTTTACTAATTGTTTCAGTCACAATGAAGCCTACTTTGCCAGGTAGCACAGTGACATCCAACAGTAGTTGATCCTCTATGTAGTCCTTATGCGCTGAATGTCAGTTGTTTCAATTCAATGTTTCAGTTCTTATAGAGCATGGATTCCCTTGCTCGTCGTCATGCAGAAGGATTCTCTCTCTGTTTTTAGCTCTTCCCAGCTTTCTAAGCTAGCCCTTAGTCCCTGCAAAAATGGTGTAATGATTTTGTGCAGGAAATTCTATTCAGTACAGAGAAGATCCAGAATCAACAGACTTTAGAAGAGTGTATTGTGAAATCTTTTGCCGACATAGAAGTGAACAGCCTTAAAGTATCTCCTGCAAACAGAAGAAAGGTTTGACTGAGAAGAGCTGACCTCTGTATTCAGAATCAAGCAGTAGTTTAGCTCTTGAGTCAGCCCACAGCTGCCTCATGTTCCATTCATAGAGTAATGGTAAAGTGTATTTTCACTGTTCCTGACACTTGATGTTTCCTAGCCCTGACTGGAAAGACAGGCGCTGACCCAAATGTCATCTGTAGGTGCCTCACCATCCATGAAACTAGGAAAGTCCCTGGCTTCTCTTTCCCTGCTCTTTCTGCTCTGTACACTTATTTATTGTATCTTATGTTTTATTACCTGTCTTTCAGAAGAAAACAGCTGCCGACTTCCTATCCAGGAAGAACAAATTGACTTCAATTCTAGTCTCATCAAAAACTGACTCCACGTTCTGTTACCGTTTCCTGTGTTTCTGAGCTAATGGATTGTAGTAACACATGATGTGTCAGTGTTCTGTGGCTGGATGTGGAGGGGATGTCCTGTTTAGTTGTACTTTAGTTCCTCTGGGGCTCGTTGAGTGCCCGTTTGGTGTTAGGAGCCATGGGAGTAGCTGTTCTTGGTGGAATGATGTGATTCTTTCTCTTGAGCAGATCCTGTGCACAGCATCCCTGTTGCCAGGACTGAGTGGCTATAGTCCTCTGTGCGTTTCTAGCCAGTTCTGTATATAAGGATAGGGAATTGTCTTGGAATTGAATAAAGTATTGAGGAAGCTGTAAGAGCTGATCCTTGAGCAGACACAAAACAGGGAAAGCCAAAGACCTGCCTTATAACTGAACTTGTATCTTGTCTTACAGCTCTGAGATGCTTAAGCAGAGCCTTCCTCTCTTTTCTCAGTACAGGTATCTGCAGTGTTTCAGTTTGGTTCCCAAATGAACTTTCCTTACATTAGGTGAAGAATCTCCCCTGATGAACCTAGCCAGCTTCCTTTTTGCTTCCATTTCTTCAGGTTATTTCTTCTTGGTCTAGTGGAGTAGCACCACAATCCTGGTGCTAGCTGTTGAGTGACTATCGAGAGATGGCTGCTCAATGCCACTTCTTTCTTCCCTGCATTTCTTCAAACACCCACTGAGAAAATGTCATGTTAACATATTGAGCAGCATCCCTGCTGTCCTCCCAACAAATGGAATTACTCATGATCACCAAGTATATCCAGATCTCCAAGTGTTTGGAAATCTCCATGGAAATCTTCATGTGTGTATAAAGTAGAATATGTGGATCGCCAGAAGGCAAAGGGAATGGTAATTTTTGATGAGAACATTAGTAGTGGAAACTTGTTCAAAATAGGAGGAAAGGCAGAGTACTCATTGAATACAGGTATTTTATATACACGGGACCAAAGCATATGCCAAAATATGCAGCAGAAAATGTATTCAAGAATACAACTGGTGTCTACAAACATGTTGTTAAACATATGTATTCTTATATGTTATACATATGGTATACTTAGCAATGATTTCCTATTTTGAAGTGCATATACAATGTATATAAACATTTGTATTATATACAAAGTGTGATAGTGACTTCTTGAAATAAATGGTAGTACCAGCTAGAAGTGCGTGTTTGTGTATGATTGGAGAGTACAAATGAGCAACAAGTTACTACGCTGTGTATAATTCTGGTGTGTGCAAGTCAGTCCAGTGGCTTAGCAGGGTTTGAGTTCCACGCTGCCTTTAGAATGCTGTATGTAGTGGTTTCCTCTGTAATCTGGCCAGGCGGCAGAGCTGAATGTTGCTGGGATGATCAAGATGATAATGCTCAGCCCCTTCGTAACGCAGAGTCCCTGTGGTGAATGTAGAGATCTTCGAAAGCGTGCTGTGTCCTTAATGCTGTCATCTTGCAGTGAGTTGGATGGCAGCGTGCAGTGGATACATCAGAGAGATGCATTCCAGGGAGCACCCAGCACATTCTCAGAAATGATGCTTATCAAGTTTGTAGGCTGCACTTCAGAGACCATAAAGCTCATGTTATGCTCGTAACTGAGCAAGGTGCAGGTAACTACTGAGCCACCTGAGGCTGTGGGTTATGTGATGGAAATGCAGCCCACAGGAACAGATGAGCTGTTGGCAGCAGAGCCCCTCTGTGGTGTGGGCTTATCAGCTCATTCCAAGAATCTCACTTGTTTCCTGCCCTCTCGCTCAGCTGCACAGGAAGATGTCCGAGTGCATTGTGTTCTTATGCCTCCCTACCACCTCATCAGGAAATGGGGAGCTTTCCTGCAAACCAGGGCATGGGTTCCCTCTGGCTGAAGAAGGAACCATTACTGGCCCTGGAAGCATGCAGCAGAGGCAGGGTAGCTGAGACACATTGCATTTGCTCATCAGCCTTTGGGAAATGGGCAGACAGTGCAGTGTGGCTTGATCCTGTGACAGCAAATCAACCCAGGCTGGAATTGCTGGCTTTTGTGCTACTGGAAGCCAGGCTGTGCTGCTGTAGAACCGCATCCAGTCCCTGTGCCAAGATGTATAATCCTGTCAGAGTTAAACCATAATAACACTTGATAGGATTGGAGGCATTTATGATTTAATTATTTTTGAGGATGTGGGTGCTGGTAGATCGCAGGTTTAAATAAACTAATGTAGGTATTTCACCCTAAATAAAGGAATAACGGTGTTGATTTAATTGTCATGCTCAGACTTGTTATTCTTCTGTGCAGAACTTGCTTGGAGCTTGTTCCAATTCTCCCTAAGATGGCAGGAAGTAGTTAAAAATAGGCAGAGAATCTTGAAAAGCGTGGTGCTTTCTGCCCACACTTGTCTTCCTACTTGCCGTAAATGAAACTTTCCCCTCTCAAAGATATGTGCCCGTGTCATGAAGTAAGTTCCTATTTTTGAACCATTCAGATGTCCCCTTTTTCAGGCACTTGGGAGAGACATAGTCAAAGTTGTGCAGCTTCGTCTAAGCTGGTAAAGATAGGGCTGTACTGGAAATATTTTGCAGTGTAGTGCAGTAAGCTTGAGGTGTCAGTTCTTTTATTCTGCAAACCAATGGTAACTCTGGTTTTACTGTGACCTGTGCTGGCAATGTGAATACTTTGGTATGTGGTGGTATGTGAATGAAAAGCATCTTGGTTGCCGTAGAGCCTGATTCAGGAGGTCACTTAAGCACATGTCAAACTGTCTGCATGGATGTTGTTGACAAATTTGGGCTGCTGAGGGTTTTAAGAACCATCCGTAAAACTGAGTGATAATTCCTTTAGTATTTCTGGGTGAGGATAACACCTGAATTTAGTGTAATAGAGAACTCTATTTCCTGAATAACTTCTTTTCAACTGCACTGGCTACGAGTTTACAGGCCACAGGGCCAGCCCCTTACACTGTCTCCTTGGAATTACGTAGAGACAGAGGTTAGATCAGATGGCCACAATGAACTGGGAGGGAAACCAAACAAAAACCCCAACCCCTATAGTCTTCAGGATTTCTATCTACAGTATTTTTTCTCCTACCTGTGAGGCTATCACGTATGGCTGCCTGGAGTTTAAAAAGGCTCTTTGTTCAACTTGGAGGTTTGGTTTGCTTTATTGCTTTGCTGCATTCAGTTTTGGAGAAGGATTAAGACAAGAGCAGATGGTATTTGAGAGCCATAGTGGGGATAAAATACATAAATGAGCTGGGTTTGAAGTTCTTGAACACTCAGACTGCACGTATGGTAGTTAGCGTCAGTAGTTACTACAGTTAAAAAGACAAACCACAGATCTGTAAGTTTGTGCTTTCTATATTCATTTCCTCCTTGGTTGTTTTTGGTTTTTTGGTTTTCCTCTGCAAATACATGGCAAGTTTCCTCTACTGTGACTAGGCCAGATCTTTCATTTCCTGCATTTTCTCTTCACATTTTCCTGTACTTAGAAGCTCATCAAAGTGACTCAGATTTGCCATGAGAGACTTATAAAGGTCGCAGCCACTGACAGGCATGCGTGGTGTGAAGCTGGCAAGGAAATACACAGGTTGGTAGAGTCAGGGAGTTGGTGGTTTTGCCTTTGTCTGGTTTGGTTCCATCTCTGAAACGTCAGCTATGCTGCTGCCTGGCCCCTGTGCCACTGGGGTTGTCTGTGAGGAGTCACCATTTTGGCAGCCAAGCTCACCAAGAGGTGACTGAGCCTCATTTGACAGACCAAGGCAGAGCTGCCAAGTGCATAGTGCAGCATCCTTAGCACTTAGATCCAGGCCTCCTTGCAAAGCCCTCACTGTTTCGGGGTGCGAATGACTTGCCTTGGGAACCCACATGTGGCACTGCATGAATGACCCATGTCTTTGCCATGTTGTTTGACTGTTGTGGCTCCAGCCCTACCTGTGTCAGGTTTGCAGGGCAGTAATTCTCCCTGCGTGCCAAAAGAGGGCAGGTCGAGGGACTGCAAATACTCTATGGGCCCACAGGGTAGGCAGTCCTACTCACTGCAAAACCTCAAGTCTGGCCTAAATGTCAGCAGAGCTGGAAGGAACACAACGATTTTGTCTTCTAGTTTCAGGCTGCAGCTAAATCGTTTGTCCTTAAGGTTTTTTTTTACCCCAGTCTTTTGATAGCCCTGTGTGAGCTGTCACTACTTATGTGGTATCCTCTAGGACAGCTGATGCCCTCATGCACCAGCCTTGCCATGTGCCTGTTGTAGTACCAGACTGCACCCCTGCTGTGGCAGATCATGGTGTGTAACTCTTCTAGGTGTCATGGTAAAGATTGAGTAATCTTTTAAGTAAAGGTTGAGTGACAGTTGTTTCTCAAGAGCATAGGCAAGTTTTGTGCAACAGAACATGAATCTTGTAGCTAGCAATGGAGTCTTCTGTAAGCAGGGTGAAAATGATTTGCAAGCTGGAGCTTACAAGGCAGTTTATACATCAGTTTACCAAATATCATTAATCATTCAGAAATTACATAGAATTCATGTGAACCTCTTGCTAGTAGGACTGCATGGCTCCTTTAGTCACCCATTATGGGTAATCTGCAAAATCTGAGCATGCAGCCTCAGGAAACCAAATTCTCTCCCTGGTAACAAAGGTTTCTCATGAATCATGTTGAGTCTGAGGAGTGTGAGTAAAGCCACTGGACTTGGCGTGAGTTAATGATTTATTTGGGGAAGTGGTTATGCTCTTTTTGTCTTTATTTTGTTCTTTTCAGAAGGTTGGTAATTAGGACAGGGAAACTGATGGCTTCAGTTGCTCCAGGCAAAAAGGGAACTGAAATGAGGCGATGTGCATAATGTTCAGCTCATGGCTGGATGTTGTTAGGGTGGGCAAAAGTAGAATGCACAGCGTGATCTGCAGCTATTTGTAGGAGTTTCTACTCTGAAGGCAGAGGTGCAAGCTGCCACATTGGTGCACTCCAGTGGGTGGAAGAATCCACTGGTTCTTCCTTCAGATCTCATCCCTAACACTAGAAGTGCTCCTGTGTGGAGCGCAAAGGAAGGAGAAGGGGTTTAGGAGATCTGTAACATCTTTTACTCTGTTCCATCACAGTGTGTTATGTTTCGGCCTTGATTTGTTCTGAGCTCTGTATGGGTATGGGCAGGTATGGCTGGAAGATAGTCCTTTCTTCTGCTTTTGGAGTGGTTCTGTGCTTCTCTTCCTTTGCTGAAAGAAGGAGAAGCAGCCCATCTTCTCCAAGTCTCTTGATACAGTGAGGCTGCATGCTCAGAACTCTGAGACTCATTTATTGGAGACAATTACAAAAGATTAAGACCTTCTCACCCAAAACTGAGGAACTAGTGCTTGGCATGGAAGCAACCCTTGGTTCAAATGCTAGTACAACCCCTTACAGAGTCTTTCTTCAAAGACACAGTTTGGGTGTTTCTTTTTAGTGATAAGTGGGGACTCTGAACCCGGAGGCGTTTCTGAACACCTCGGCTCCATGTTCTTCTCTTTGCCTTTTTGAGACTCTGCTGTGTCTTCCTGTCCGTGCAAAGGAGAAGGCACTTCAAGATACATGTACTCAAACAACCCTGAAGACCACATTGCTTTCAGTGGCCTTTTAACCCTTGGGATTATAATGTTGAACACAGGCAGCAGCATGAAACCTGCCAGCAGTGATACACATCGCACACAGGACTGAATGAGAAGATTGACATGAAATGTCACTACCTTGCGTCAGAGACAGGTGAGATTAGCTCTAGAAAACCCCCAAAGATTTTAAAGCCAGATAGTCAGGTTATTTCTGAAAGGTCACTGCTGACTTTAGAGATTTTAGACTTGGCATGTGCAGCTATTATCTGTGTTCTGACTGTAAATGTTCCATCATCTGGCAGTATTTGTGCACGACTAACGCTTGAACAAGAATGAAAACATGCAGAGACAGAAGAAAAACAAGATTCAAAAAAGGCAGAAGGAAATAAATTGTTAGTTCCTACTCTGATAAACACCAGGCATCAGGTATCACATGCACTAAGTGCCTGCATAGGGTTCCCTTGTGTGCCACCTGCCAGTTGTCTCCTTCAGCCCTTTAGAGCTCCCTTCTCTGCTGCTGTGTTCACAATGCTGAGCAGAAATCTGGTTAATGTTCATGTTGGGTATTTGGGCAGTTCTAGTTATTAATGTACATCTCTGAGCTTTGGAGTAATGGCAGATTCCTCTATCTGGAATGTCTACGCTGTCCTTGTCCCTTCTGATAGACATGGGCTCATCTGTTGCTAATGCTGTACTTGGAAAGATGAGGAAATTCAGGCATCAGGAGGGATGGAGCAGCCACGGCTTCTCTGGGCAATCTGTGCCAGGGCCTCACCACCCTCACAGGGAAGAATTTCTTCCTAATATCTAATCTAAGTCTCCCCCTTTCAATTTAAAGACTGCTATATATACAGTTACTATATGCAGTTACATAGTTAAATCCCTGAATGTTTCAAAATTCGTTAGGTCAGGAACTGGATTAGGAATTGGATTTGAATTGGAAGCTGTGGCTGCCCCATCCCTGGCAGTGTTCAAGGCCAGGTTGGATGGGGCTTGGAGCAACCTGCCCTAGTGGAAGGTGTCCCTGCCTGATGAGCTTCAAGGTCCTTTCCAGTCCAAACCATTCTGTGGGCTTTAAGTCAGAATGAAATAGTCTGAGAGTGCTGACATTCACACACTGATTTCATTTGCTTTAATTTTCAGGTGTATATCAACTTGCAAAATCCTTTAAAAATGGGAATATGTGATGCTACATCTTGCTCTCAACCTGCTGCTCCCCTAATGGAGACACTGGTGCACGGTTGCTTAGCCCTGCTTTTTTAAGACTTTGATGACATCAAGCAAAATCTTTTCCCCGCCCCTGAAGAAACAGGAAGAGTGCAGCCACAAAAAGCACAGTGCCTACCCACAGTGTGAGGGGGAAGAGTGCTTTGGCAGGGAAGCTCATCCTTGTGTGCTTTTGGGTTGTATAGCTCAAGGTATGGCTGAGCAGACAAGTGATCATCTCAAGGTTCGAGCTTGCTTGCTGGTGCTCATGTGCCTATGGCAGTGGACACAGCAAATTCTGGCAACAGCGTGCAGTGATGGTGAACTGCGAGTCATCAGTAAAGGTGAAAAGAAATGCTGCCCCAAATGCACCTCGAACCCAGGTAAGGGAATGATGTGTCTGTCCTCTTTCTGTTCATCAGTATTATGTCAACAAGGTAACTGAGTGTGGGGAATGTGGATATGGATGTATCTTGAGTAACTGTATATGCAAAACAAAATGGCAAGGACTTTCCTCTGCCCCCTAAATTCATAATGTACCTTAGCTGTAAACTTCAGAGTGGACTCGGGTTTCGGATTTAAAACATGCCTATACTTGCTATTCTGTAGTGGGAAATTGAAAGTTAAGTTTCTGTGGGCTGGTTTTGCCCACAAGGAAAGAAGGAGTTCAGCTAATTCTGAATCTGAGCCATTCAAGCATGGTTTCAATGTCTGGGCCATTTAGACTTCAGAAGGAACACAGGGAGTGCTGCTGTCTGTAAGGCTGCCCTTTGCAATTTGTGGTCCCTCTTTAATCCTTCCATTCTGCTGACCTGTGCGTGTCCCAGAAGTAAATGCACAGCCAAAGTTTCAGGTGATCATTAGTTTCAACAGCTTGTTCTGACTTGTGTCTCTGCCTGATCTTAGAATGGTGGTGGGATGGTGGTCATGGATTCTCCCTTGCCTGTAATTGTAAGTCAGATTAGGGCTGCATGACCTACAGTGAGGAATGCTCCTTCCTTTTCCGTTTGTCCCAACTCAAGAGTTGCCAGAAGCCTGTCTAGGTAGTGTGGTAATGCTGTTGTCCTGCAGGTCAGCAAACAGGAGCAGCTCAGAAGTTGCATCTTTCACTGATGCTGAAGTAGGAGTCAGCATCTCACCTAGTAGTAGCTTCAATATATCTGCCTTAACCAACAAGGGCATTGAGTTCTCTGTGGAAGCAGTGAGTGGACACATGGAGTTTGTGGCCATGAGCAACAAATAGGTGAAGAGCTACAGAGTCCTCAGTAGTATGGAGACCCATGGGTATTTCCCTTCCCACTCAGATAATGTCACCCAGCATGAGGGAAGTAAGTCATTGCTTGGTGAGATCAACACCAGGCTCACCCACTGGCAGTACATAGAGAGAAGCAGCCCCAAGCTGTTTCCATGTTGCCAAACTTCATTGGGTTTTGAAGGACAGTAAGAGGAGGCCAGTTGGCATAGGAAGATGTGGGCAGTTCCCTGGTGGCCCTGTGCATTCCATCACCCACCTGAGGAAACAGTCTTTGCTTGCTCTGTGCTCCTCAGTGTGGGTTTTTGAGCACACTAATGAACTAGCTGGCATTTCCATCTGCTTTTTTCTTTCTTTAAGGTTATACAGCTTCCTGACTGAGCAGTACTTTTCCTTAGCTGGTCTCCAACTGCCCGAAGGAATGCTTGATGCTGTTTACTGATGGGATTTGTATATGTAATCAGTCTTTGCTTTCAGGAACCCAGGAGCCTCTCAGAGTTAGAGATGATATTTTGAGTGCAAAAGGTCGTAACGGAACTCCTCTAGAAATAGAAGGACAGAGGGTAGGAAGGGTGCTGGCTTTGTAGCTTGGATTTAGGCCCACTTCTGCCAACAGACTATAGGAAGCAGCTGCTGTTGTTAGGAAAGACATGGAAAAGGAGCTCTAGCTTCACTGACCAAGGATCTTTTGGGCATCCCTCCTCTAAGATGGCTGTGCCTAACTGAGAAGAGCTCTGACAGTGTTCTGAGAGCTGACTGCATGGATAGTTAATGTGTAATGCTTTGGGGCACTGAAAGTGCCCTCCTCATCTCACAGTGTCTAAACACTGTAGTAAAGCAAACCTGCTGCCTTACTTCTGTCTACCGTGACCTATGCTGGTATTCCAGATGAGAGAGAAGGGTTACACTGGTAAGTCAGGTAATCATGGTGTAAGAATCTGAGTGATGCTGAATTTGAGTACTCTAAACTTTATCCACTATGCACGGGAGTCACACCTTTCTGGTACCTGCTTTTTCCACCACAGCACACTAAGGAGCTACTTCACCTGTGTCAAGCCAGTAAGACTAATGCTGAAGTTAATTTCTGGCCTCTATGACAAAGGCAAATCTTAATTTCTTTCTTCTTCACAGGAGGCAACAGTACATGTCAAAATACCCAGGACCATGACTGCAGATGTCGTCAGGGATACAGCTGTGTTGACAGTGCATGTCTCTACTGCCAGAAACTGCCTGAGTGTGCAGCAGGCGAGGAGCTGGTGAAGCTTGGTAACTACAGAAACACTAATGACTCTGAAATGTAGAGTTCAATATAAGTGGCTGCTGAGCAGCAGCTTCCTTCACTTACTACAACCTGCTCTTGGAAAGGCTTGTGATGCAGAGAGAAATGGCATTTATACTGTGGTCTCTGTGACTAAACCTCTTGCTTTCCTGTTTTATAGCTCTTCCCTTCTTAAATTTGAGACTTTCACACTCAGACCTTCAGTATTGCCTCCAAGCTTCTAGAACTGTCAGTAGAAGAGTTTTACTCTGTGTTACTTTTCATCTTTACACCCTCTGCTGTCAGATCAGACTGTTCTGTACCAGTTCTGCAAGGGATCTGCCCATACATTTCCTAAGCATAAAGATGGCAAGAACTGCTTATGTTTTTCTCCGGGGGGCTGATTCATAATGCAGAAAGAGTGCAGAGGAAGTGGGTTGTGCTCTAATCTGTTGCATCCCCATCTTTGATAAAGGCACTGATCACTGATAATTCATGTTCTCTTTTCGTATAGGCAATGTAGACTTCACATTCAGATGTAAACCATGTGAGATGGGAACCTATTCTAGTGTGAAGAATGGCTGGTGCCGTAACTGGACTGAGTATGTATTTATTGGTGCTTTTCCTCTTTAGAGATACGCATGATAAAACTCTCTAATACTTAAATTAGAAAACAAAATGTAATCAAAGAAGAGATCACTGATGTGACTGAGGTTTTTTAATTCAGCAATATATGATATGTCTTTCTTCTTTGGCTCTATAAATTGTTGCTCTCAAAGCAGAGTTTAAGACAAACTCCTGTGTATTCAACTTGCTTCCAAGCCCAGATCAAAGTGATGCAAAACCATGCATCACTTGAAACAAGGGACTAAAAAATATGTATGTACATAAGGAATTGTAATAGACTGTTATCTTGTTGGGGAGCAGCCATAACTTTACCTGCACTGCTATAAAAAGCCAAAAAAGAAAGAGTGGAGAAAGGAAGAATGGGGGAGCCAAGAGAAAGGCTGGAGAGGAATGAAGGACAAGGCAGGGACATTCTAAATGTGACTTTTTTTCTCTTCTTTTAGTTGTGAAAGCTCTGGGTTTCTAACAGTCAAGCAAGGGAACAGTACACATAATACAATATGTGGTCTGCTTCCTAAGGAGCTGGAACAAGGTACTTTCTCACAATGGTTTGATTTCTTTGAGCTTATAGTGTTTCTCTACACTGCTTCAGTTGATGACTTGCTGCATAGGTACTGTCCAGAGCTGTTGTGTTTCTTGTAATATTAATATAGATAGAATTGTTGACCTGGGCAAAGATTAATCTTCTTAATCTTTATTAAATACATTTACTTGCAGGTCTCATTACAGTTGACTCCCTCTCTACCACCATCCTGGCCATCCTGACTGCAGTGGCTCTGTTTGTTCTCATCTTGCTGACCTTCATCTTGCATTTCTGCATATGGTCACTGAAGAAAGAAAAATACCACGCAGCTGATGGTAAGTGCACTGTTGTGGGCTTGTGTGTGGCTTTTCAGTGGTGAACAGTGAGTCAGAATGGAGTAAACTGAGTTGAATAAATAGAGTAAATACATATTTACTCTGACTTTTGGGCCCGTACCTTTGTCCTTTCCTCAGAGAGGGAAGGTAATGGGCAGCTAACTGTCATGTATGAAGACCTCTTGAATGTGCAAGTCCTTTTGCTTGTTCTCACTGCAGATCTGGAACATATCTTCCCTAAGCAGCCAATGGCTCCACAACGGTCCCACCACAGAGAAGAGACTTACAGCTGCCAGCTTCCAGAAGAAGAACATGGAGACAAAACACCAGAAGAAAAGCACTGCTACTTCCACCCTCAGAGTCTGCAGTGAAACAGATGAATTGCAATGTGCTGTGAGAAGGGGAAGCTGAGCTCAGCTTTTCCAAAGAGAAGGGAGGGTCTGGGTGCATAAAGCATCCTCATATACATAGCAATAAGGAATGGGCTTGGGAGAGTTTTGCTGTGTTTCCTCTCAACAAACCTAGTGTTTAGAAGCAAAAGGAACCTGCTCAGGCTGACATTCAGTTCAACAGCATTCCATTAGTGCAAGTCTCCTGGGTTGCTGGATATTTCATTGATGTTCTATTCAACTTCCTTTGGGGCCAGGTGCCCTTCTTGTTGTTACTCCCTTTTGCATCTCCTGCACATGTCTCCATGGTGCCCCCACAGATTGATACCCATATAGAAGGCCGGTGTCCCACCTTCAGTCCCATGGGAAGTACAGTGGTACCTACAGCTTTCACAGGCTATCTGTATTTCCAGGATGTGTCCTGGTGCTCATACTAAGCGAATAAGGTGGTGTTCCTAGCAAGCATATCTACTACTTTTCTGTGCACAGGCAGTGCTTTTTATTTGTGTGAAATCGCCCTCTTTGTTGTGAAGGGAAGAGCCATTATTCTTAATCCGTTCAGTCCTTTTCAATGCTAACAGAAGGTGTTGGTTAAACCAGGCTCAGTGCAGAGTGAGACTGTTACAGCCACATCATTTGTGCTTGCAGGGGTTTTTCTATGCAAGTTTGGTGATCCCCTCATTCTTTCCAAGGAAACTAGAGGAGAAAGGACTGACATTTATCCTGCTTCTCTTCTCTAACTCAGCAACCCTTGGTACCTGGAATACTGAATTACAAAAGGGAGACTCAAATGAGGATCACACGGTCTAGAGAAAGACATTTGGTTTAATGCTCTCTTCTCACCTAGTTTATACACTAGGAAAAGACAGTGGGGAACAGAGAATAGAGCAACATTTGTTCCTGATACACAAAAAGTATCCCAAAAGAAAAAGAACCAGAACAAATGCTGGTGTATACCAGCATAGCTCCAGTGACTTGATCACTGGAAGATGGAATATGTTCCTCCTACAGAAAATTGGAGGTTTTTTAAATGTCAGATTAGTGCTCCTCCAGCTTCACAGAGCACTAACATGGCTGTAATGAATTGGGGGGGCAGGCTTTCAGCTGGGCTTACTTGCAGTGAATTGGTACTGATTTCAAGTAAGAATCTAGCCTGTGGCTTCAACTAGTTAAGACTCAGCTAGTTAAAACTCACTGTTATTGCAGCCACATGTGTTTTGTGGCTGCAATAACAGATTCAAAGCTCTGGATGCTTTCTTGGTTTGGCCTTCTGGTGAAAGCTGCTTGGAGTCAACTCTTATGACCAAATCGGCTCCTTGCACAAGTGAGTTTTGAGTCACCATTCACATGGAAGGGTATAAATATCTCACAGTACAGCCATTGCATCAGCTTCTTCACATTGCCTTACAGATAACAGAAATAGTACAGGGCTTGGAAATGAAATCCTAACAGAATAGTGACATTTCTGTTAATCACCTTACTAACTACTCCAAGGGGATTATTCCAAGTTGAATGACGTGCTGGTTTCAGTAGGGCTCTATGAAATTACAGCAGCTGTGGAGCAGGAGCTATTGGCTCCATAGCTGTGTGATGCAAAAGCACTTGAGAGAATTCTAAGAAGTGGGACAGGTTATTACCTTGGTAAGCTAATCACTAGCTTCTGTGCTTCAAGGCATGCTTAGTGAAAACTGGATAATGATCTACCCGGTGACTTCATGACCTCTCTATGCAATCCAGGCAGTAACTGATTTCAAGTCAGAGAAGGAGAAAAGTTCTGTTAGTTAAAGTATATATTAGCCATTATGAAGAAGAATTGACTCTTCAGCATCTTTTCAAGCATTTATAATCATCTCTTCTCGGCTTCTCTAGGCTTTCATCCTACTTTACGAAGGAAACCACCTACTTGTGGTTTCTAGACCTCTTAGTCTCTCTCGGAACTCTTTCCACTTGGTCTGTCTTGAAGCCTTCTCTAGAGGAAGTCTTGGCAAGCTTGAATAGAGCTGGAGGATTAATTGTATGATTCATGGGCATGGTTTTATCGCTGAGCATTTCTTCAGTGATTATGTCAAGAGGAGTTATCCTGTCTTTGCTTTTTCTCTTCTGTGCATCAGAGTCTTGCAACTGGCTGAAATAAGTGTAAGGGAAAAGGCAGCGCAAAGGGTTATCCTTGTTCACTAGAATGTATTCCTCTGTAGTTCTAGTTTGACTCTTCCAGCTTCTCTGTGATTGCGTTTTCTGCATCTGGCATCTCTATACCTTCACTTTGCCTTCATGTAGAACGAGAGCAGAGATAGTGTGAGACATAATTAGTCCTTTCAATGTATTTTGTTTTCTTTGATCCTCTTCATGTTCTTTCTGGTGTTACTGATAATTTTTCCCATAGGTATCTCTGTGAAATTTGCTTAAAAGAAGAGAGGTTTCCTCTGTTGCATCAGGAAATGTGCGTTTTCTTAGTTGAGATGAACTGGAGATTCAGCCAAGGAAAGGTGAAAGCATTGGATTGGATTAATAGGATAACTTCTTTAAAGTGTGAGACTGTCTCTGCCTTGCAGTTCGCTGTGGGATTTAATATACTCTGAAGTCTAAACCCTGGCTAGGAAAGACACTTCTTACTGCTCCTATGTTGGCCATATTTATTCTTGGCTGTGTATTGACTCTTCCTGGGGTTTTTCTGATGTTTTCAGCAAGATTTCTGATTGTGACCTTTTGTAAAGGTAAAATAAACTTGGAAAATGGAATGAAGTGCCTCTGTGATGTAACGAAACAGCTAGGAAAGGCAGGAGTTTATTCGTTAGCTTGTCCCAGTGTTCTGGAGCACACTTAATTTTACTTTCCCAATTCGGTTCCTGACAATGGCAGAGAAGCAGCAACATGGGGGCAAAAAAACCCACCCAAACTATTTGAGGAATGAAAGATTTGAGTGTCTGTCTGTGCTTCTGGCAGCAAGCAGCAAGCCTTGGTGAGGTGTACAAGGCTTCCTGGGCTGTGGGTGTTGAATATCTGACACTGCTGACACTTAATACTGAAACAAGATGATCAGAGCCATATTATTCATTGGAAACTTGCACAGGGGCCTTTAGGGTTTCTGTGTGCCTACCTTGCAGAATGATTCCACTTCCTGCTTACCTCAACTACCTGACTTTGGGGCTGCTTTTTGATGGGAAAAGCAACCAATTTCCTGACTTCTTAAAGGCCAATTCAGAGGGAAAAACCCAAAGTGTGAATCATTGAAGCCCTGGAGAATTTCGGAGAAAGAGCTCTTCTTTACATCAAAGGAAATGAAAGCTGTTGGTTCAGAACAGTGAGCTTGTAAAACACTGTACTGAAGTTTCCATTCAGGAGGGAAGATGGCTTTATTTTATCAGTGTGCAGTTACTACAGTGTTTGAACCAGATCATGGCTGAATTTTCAGCTCAAATCCCAGAGTTTGTTTTTTTTTCAGGTTCTGATTTAAACTTCATCTTCGTACATGGACTGTAGGTTAAAAGAAGCTTCTCTCTCAATGAAATGTGGCTAACAGTATTCTTTTCCTTCAGTCTTCAAAAGAGAAAACAAAATATCCCTGGAAAACATCCCAAAGTTCCTAGAGATTAAGTGATCAAGCAAAGTTAGATATCTGATGTTCACCTATATGTAGGTGAAGTTTAAAAAGTGTATTTTGTGTTTTTAAAGGTATTTTTCCATGTAATTGTGTGTGGGACAGTTGGTGGCACTTAGTCCTTGTTTTATTAGGAGTTGTCCAGCACTTACCTTAAGCTTGTCTTTGAGTTGTCCAATGAGGAATCAAAATGTAAAAGAAGTTCTTGAGCTACCAGGGGTGATGAAAGGTTTGTTACCATTTTGTGGGAGTGGAAGGTGGCCCTGCCTGTGGCAGGGGGTTGGAACTGGGTGAGCTTCAAGGTCCTTTCCAACCCAAACCAGTCTGGGATCCTATGACATCCTTCACTGTCTCCAGAGCCAGCTCTTTTAGCACGTGTACTTCAATGCTCTTTAAAAGGGACCACCACTGACAACTGAAGTAGCTGTTAATGTAACAGGTTTTGTGGTTTCCTCAAAGCTGACATCACTCAGCTGTGCTGAGAGTCACTTCCCAGAAGAAGGGGAAGTGTTCAGCACGGTGGGAATGGAAACTGGCCTTCAGGAGGGAAGCCTCTGATCGTTCTGGGATCTTCCAATGACCCACCTCTGAAGCTTGTGTGTTTAAGGTCGGATTGGATGGGGCTTGGAGCAGCCTGATGTAGTGGAAGGTGTCCCTGCCCATGGCAGGGGGGTTGGGTCCCTTCCAACCCAAACCACTCTGTGATTCTATGATTCCTCTTCAGTGCTACACGTATGTAGTGAGGTTCAGTGTGGGCTTCTGGAATGCATGGCTGTGCTGAGCCCTGAATGGATTTCTGCAATCTATATGGAATCCTTAGAGCAGAACCACCTGGGCTAAGTACTGTAAAATTAGCTTGTACCTGCTAACTACAGACAATGATGTGAAGTATAGGGAATGTCAGAAATCAGCAGCTTTTGAGAGTAGGTGCTCTGTTGTGCTTTCTCCCCCCAAACTGAAGACAAGCATGCTGTTGGGCACAACTAAGGTACAGTGCTGCCCAAGAGTCTGTGCCATGCTAGACATCAAGGAATGGATGAGTAAAAAAGGGGAAACCTTAGCAGTAAATAATGCTAGGGAGGGGGGAGAAGACAATGTGGCTTTCCAGTTGACTTACCCTTCAGGAACCTGGCAATACCAGGACATAGGCAAAGGTTTTGGGAGATTCATTGTGGTGCTGCCTGTGAATTCCCCAAGGCACAGGGAATTCAATGACCGTTTCATTGTATGCGTGTTTTCAATGGCAGTGTAATCCTGCCATCTTGTGACCCTTGTGGATGTTGCAGTGTGTAGCTTGTGCGAGAGAGTCTTTATTACTGTAACTAAGAGGAAATTTAAGTTCCTGGTTTAAAGAGGAAGTTTAAGTTCCTGGTTTTCCAGCCGAGGTTGATACCTGTTTGTCTATGTAAGGTGGAAAGGAGCTGGACATGCACAACACATTCAAATTTAGCTTTTATTTTAGTTTTCTATCTTCTGACCTTGTGAAAACCCTTTTGCTCTGCAATGGTTTGGGGGGGGTGTTCTATGCCAGTCGAAGAGCCACACATGTAGTGTAGTCAGGACAGTGTTGTGTTTCTTTCTGGCCAACAAGGCAACCTCTCTTGTTCAACCAGGCTTCTGTGGAGAGTTCTCCAGCACTTTCTCCAGGCTGGCACTGTCTGTTTGGCAGCATGTATTGGCCTTTATACAGGCCACTTTGAAGCTTTAAGGGTTGTTTCTGGCCCAGGTCTGCATCATCCTCGTGATGCAGTGAAGCACAAAATGACAGTGTTTCTAAAGGCAAAATCCTGTGGCCTTTGAGGCACTTCTTGAAAAACTCAAGAACCAAATCTGGAAAGGAAGATGCAGTTATGGGATGGTCTGAACACTGGTGCTAGAATACACCCAAGCCATCGTGCGTATGCATAGAGCAGCTGTGCTTGGGGAAAGGATGAGGGGTGCGGAGGGGAAGATGTTTCCAACCTGTGATCTGTGGCTTATTACTATTAAGACTGTGACTTGTTCACTTACCAAGGCTCTCATAGACTATAGCTGGGATGATGTCTTTCAAGACAGTTGGTGTGCAGTGCTGGGCTTGTATTCATCTCCAGAAGCCAGACCTAGGAAAGATGAATGCCCGTCAGGAAGCTGGTGTCAGAGGAATGCCCTCTGGATGACTTAGTGACCACTTTGAGAGGTAGGAGCACTAATAAATCCCAACAAAATCCCCAGTACAGAATGCAGGCAGGACAGAGTGGATGAGTTAAACAAAATCCCATTTTTGCATTCATTTAGTTATGTGAGAACAGCACCACACATTGTTTTATGTCTTCAGCTGGTGCTCTTTAGGTTAACTCTTCTCTATAGGTATGTAAAGGCACTTGTGTTTCTTAACATACCAGTTTCCATAACAATTTGTAGTTAAGTTTTTTGGATACCATGAAGTACTGTTATAAGGAGTCTAGGACTTGATCTGAAGTGGACATGGGACCAAAACTATGCAAACATGAGTTTTCAGTGAACCCTTAGCCTTGATTTCCTGGTTTAGTTTCCAGTAGAAGCCACTTCAGGCACTAATTTGACATATCTGTACTCGTCTCATCTCCATTTCCCTTTGAAATGCCAAGGGCTGAAGCTACAAGCCACAGAATATGGTGTCCAGTTATAAGCCTGTGTGAAACCAAACAATTGACTTGCCTGTAATTCCATTTACTATTCCTTTCCCTTATAGCAAGAGAAACTGTTCACTTCCTGCCTCCACCATATGGTGCTGCATCCTGCATATAGCACATGTAGGAACTATCAGCAGTTTGTAAGGGGGGATATTTAATTGTGTAACAGCCCCAGGAGGATTTTACTCTCTTTTGATTGATTTAGGAGTATAATTGGAAAGGTTTGTGTTTTTCCTGCAGCAGCAGTGAGTTTGCTTTGGCAACGGGATGGCCTTCACTTTGGCGCTTTATTTTGCCAAGAAGAAAATACAACAACAATTTTCACTTCTTTGAAATACTTTATTAAGAGGCTGGCAAGGGAAGGCAGTGACACAGCTTTGTTGGTGTTTGGTTTTCCAGAGGAGAAGTGGAGCTGCTGCTGATAAACCTGCTTTACAGATGCCAACAGAGGGCACCGAAGTGACATCCGTTTTTCTTGGCAAACCCATTCTCAGTAAGTGTTCTTTTTTCCTCTTAAAAGCTCCGAAGATTTTGTGCTAACAGACTCAATGAACCTTCATAATTGTCTTGATTAGGTTTTGGTTTCTTCTCCTTTAAAACAAATACAGCTGACAGGAGGAGGAAAGCTCTCTATCTGTCACGCTGCTCATCTTCTACGTTCCCTATTATTGTGTTGTCTGAATGTCTCCCAGTTTGGAAATGCACTTAACCTCTCCACAACGAGGGCAGGTTAATAAATGCCCTTTGTTCTATTCCAGGAAAAGCAGAGAGAATAAGGCCAAGATTCACCATGTCTATTTGAACATCCGTAACTTCCATGGGTATTTCAAGTTAAATGAAATTCCTGTGCTTTTCTCTGCATCTGCCATGCAGGTATCTTGCTCAGAATTTCCTATCAAACATGTGATAAAGAAAAGGAAACCAAAACCCAGAATTATCTGTCTTTGACTTTCTAACCTGGATCTTTTCCTTTAGGCTTTTCAAGTGATGAGGACAATAATGAATGCCCTGTGGCTCTGGTCAGAAGTGCTGCTCGGGGTGTTTCTAAGGGATGAAGAGGTTACTGCTCCCTGCAGCCTGTCAGTACAACGTGTTCTGTCACATCAGACTTGCTCTGTCAAGACATCACAGGTAGGCTTAAAAACTTTAAACAGGAATTGTCCAAAGGCTCTTGAACAACAGGCTCACTGCAGCCAGGTCCTGCACTACACCAGGATCTGAGGGTTTGTTTCTTGTGCTTTGCATAGCACTGAATGCAGTGGTTTTGTTTCCATCCAGTTTGCTTACTATTGTAGTTTCATTGCTGTAGAATCATCCTTATTGCAGCAGTTCAGTCTTTCAAAGAAGCACTGGATGATGAGACTAGGTTCATGCAAAAGACCTGTCAAGGGTCCTTCCCTGTTGCCCTTGTGTGCAGGGAGCCTGACCTCTGACTGGAGCTTTAAGCAGCACTGAAATATCAGAGCCAGAAATAGGAATGAAATAACTTGTTCTGTATCCTGTGTGGAAATAGCTGAAGCCACAAGCACAGTCACAAACCAAGCTCTGGAAAGGCTACTCAGATGTTGCTGACCCAGAAAGGGACCTGCTTAGTGATAGTGGAGACCAGAGGCTGAGGCAGTGGGGTCTGTTTTCCACAATCTTAAAAGCTCCTATGAGCTTTTTTTATCATCATGACCTGGGGTGGACACAGCCAAGTCTACAGTATCCATATGGTACCTCATGCTCTGGGGGTGAATGAAAAGCTCTGTCATTCAAATCAAAGGAACCGTCCCTGCTTTAACTAGGGATTTGAGTGTTATCTTCATTTAGGTACACCTCTGACAAATTGGCAAATAGCTTATCTGTGTTCACTCTGTTCTCTGCTGATAAAGAGCTGAATCCCTTTATGGCTGATAAAAAACTTACACATCTGTTTTCCCAGCATACCTCTGGAGAGAAGCCCTTCTGCATGGCTGGTGCAATGCTCTCTGAAAGCAGGTTCCTTGAGCATTTCAATGACACTGTCCTAAGCTGTGCAGTGACTTAAGCATTTGTAAGGCAGCACAAGGAGACTTCAGAAAACAGTAGGTAAAAAAGCCAACAGCAATGCCACATCCCTCACTTCAGCTCGCTGTCCTCTTAAGGCACTTCTTTTTCTTCTCAGCTTACATATGAATATGCAAAGCTCTACAGAAAGCTGTGGTTTCTCATCAGGGCCTGCTGTCATACATAGTCTATGCTTCTGAGAACTCGGAGGGAGGAAAAACCTTCCAGAATCAGGATGCTGTTTTGGGTGCCATGGTTTAGTGTGAGGTGTCCCTGCCCATGGCAGGGGGTTGCAACTGGATGATCTTAAGATCCTTTCCAACCCTAACTATTCTATGAGTCTATGCTGCAGGGCATTCAAGAATTATTAGGGATGATGCTGGGGGCATTTATATCTCAGACAAATAAGGAAGAGGGAAAGGCAGGATGAGCTGTGGGACTGGATGTATAAGACTGTTAAATCAGCGTAAAGCAGATTCTACACGTCATGAAATAGGATGTCAGGGAGAATAAGGCTATTTCTACATTATTCTCTCTCGGAGGGAAGTTCCATGTTCCAGCTGACTCTGTCTCCACTCAGTGTCCAGAAATCCTCATCCTTCTTGTAGGTAATGCTTGTAGAGAAATAGATTCTGTTTATCTCCCCATATGTAAAATACACGGGGATGTAATGGTCTTTAAACGCTGAAGCTTTTAAGGAGCCAAGTAGGAATTACCACAATAGAGTGATACTGGATCTTCTATTCTACTTAAAGTTTACACAGCTAGGGCTTTGCATGCCAACCTTGCAAAAGACAATTCCCCCTGAAATCTGAGAAGCACCAGTTTCTGTGTCTTTGCCATTTACCCTCCTTTGCCATTGACTTCCTGTACAAAGGAGTCTATTGTTCAGGTGCCTTACCCACTGCTGCATACATTAATTCCATTCTTTCGTAGGGTTTGCTGTTCCCACTGCCCTTTGCTGGAATATGTTTGAGTTCCTTTCTGCTTTAGCAACAGCAGAATCTGCCAGATGGCTTTCTGTTATGTTTAGGCCAGGTGGTTTTAAAGTACTGTGCTGCATTGAAAGCACCTCAGTTGCTTTATTTAACATTTCCTTTTCCCTTTCTTCTGGCTCTTCTTGTCTGTGTTTTACTCACTCCTTACAAGCTTGAGTTGTAATTCTAACATATTTTGTGGACTCAGTGTCCTGACCTATAGCTGAAGGTGGACATTGAGAAGCTGATGCTGACATCAGAATCAATAATGATTGATTCTTCGGCATGGGGAGGCCGAGTTCTTCATTGCCTTTGATGGATACTCAGCAAGTATAGATCACTGTACTTGACGTGATGGTAGAGGTATTACACACTGGTTTATGCTGGCTGATCACCTGGCATGTTCTGGATAAAGAAGAAACTGGGTGGGCATTAAGATTTCAGTACTTTTCATTATGAACTGCACTTTGCTGTGGGAATTCTGCACACAACAGCTTTGCCTGCAATGAGCACTGCTCTTCCCATCCTGAGCTGTTAATGGCAGGGTTTCTCTATGCCGTGAGCATGCAAGTGCCATGTCTTTGATGCTGGACAATGAAACTGGAGGGGAAAAATGAATCCTGCCCTTGATCCTGACTGATTTAACGCTCTGTTTAGTTCCTGGCACCTGAGCCTGTGTCAACTGTGCTATGTTAGGTATCTGGCCAATATTATACTTAGTATTTCACAGTATTGTGTTCATACCTTTAAAGTTCTCATCAATTAGAAAGTCGCAACTGATGAGATTGAAGTAGCCCAGTTTGCAATCCAGTTTGTGCTTGGCTGCCAGGAAGCACTGCAAAATGATCTGCTTCATCCTTTTCTGGAATGGAAGACAGGGAAAGGTGGAAACTGATCATTGGGAAGGAGTCAGCAGAAGTCAGAGGTGTCCTCTAGGTTTAGGGACACTCGTCCTTCCCCTGCTTCCTGCAGAGCTTCTCTCTAGACTGAGTGGAATGAAACCCTGTCTTGAACTTGGTTCTCCAGACTACTGCAGTGATGCATGGAGGAATCTCAGCCCTTGTGCCTTAATCTGAATGAGCTGTCTGGACAATGTTTAGCAGTGTTAATTCATTTACTCCTTGGGGGCACCTGGATGTGAGCTGAACACAGCCATTTCTGACAGTGATGCTTCAGAAGCCCCTCACAGCTGTGCTGGACATGGTGTTTTAAAGAAGCCTGGTGAGTGACAGCAACTTCTAGTAGGGGATGCTAAGCTTCAGTCAGTTTGGAGCTGAAATGCACTGTGGGGAATTGCTGAGTGGAGAGAGATACCCTAAAATTGGCTGAAAAGTTTCTGATCCCCTGAGAAATTTGGCAAATTCAACTACGTTTTCTTCTGAGCCTTTTTTCTGAACGATGTATTTTAACAATTAATTTTCTTTGTGTTTGGCTTTAAACGACCCCATTTCCAAAGTTGACCTGAGAAAGCTCTGTCCTGTGCCCTTTTCACCTAGCAAGTCATGTAGGGAACTGATGCATCATTAGACTCAGGCTGATGAAGTCTCAGGGACTCAGATAATTTCTTCAGTGAGATAAGAAGGTGGTCAGAATCTGAATCTTCCTCTCTCTCCTCCATGCTAGAGAAGATTTAAGGCCCTGACATGATTTTCATGGGGCAAAATCAGACAGAGTGAATGGTGAGACCAAGTTAAACAGGAAAGAGACCACTAAAAGTGTAGTCTCTTTCCAGGCTGACAGGCTGGAGAGCTCTATGATGTGTACTTGATGCAGGACCACAGCATTGCCCAGGAACATGAAGGCCATAATAGCATTTTTAGAGCTAACATTTACAATTGCACTCTTTTTCTCAGCTGCTTGTTATTAAAACTAAACTCTGTGTCTTCACTTCTGTGTTTAGCATCTGCAGATAAATGGGTACTATGGGACCGTCAATACCTTCTCGCTCAGTGTATGTGTTTCCTTGGGGGAAGTGATGTGTCTTCCTGCTATTCCTGTCACCCTAATGAGGCAGATGAGCACACCATCCACTTACAGTAAACACAGTGAAACCCCAGTCTTTGGGGAGCCCTTTGGACTTTCTGAACTTCTCATTAATGTAGCTGTTGAAATGCTCCATCCGCCAAATGGTCTCATCTTTCAGCTGGCTGTACAGGGAGTTCTGCATGTACTGAGAGGTGGGGAAACACAGCAAAGGGAGGATTAGATTTCTGGCACTGAAGAGTAATGGCCTTGCACGGCAGGCATCCAGCTGCCCTGAGTTGTTCCAGGCATCTGGAGTTGGGATGAGCCCCAGGATCACAAAATAGAGGTGGAGGGAATAGAGCTCCTCACTAGCAGAGCTAAAGCTGAGCCAATGTCTTGACTCCCGTTGTACAACACTACCACAAGCAGAATAATGTGCCTGACCCACGTGGATGCTGTAGTGACAATTACCCAAGGTCAAAGCAGTGTTGTGTGACAGGAAGAGGTGCTTTCAAGTCACAGACATGATGTTCTTTGGACTAAATCCAGTTCCAGTGCCTGGAAGTCTCCTACATCTGGGAGAGATGGATGGATGGATCACCAGAGGGAACCAAGGTGAGGGCTTCTCTCTTCTGCTCATTAATCCCTTTGTCAGATGGAGTTAAGTCTTCCAGAAGTCTTTTTTTTTGCTTCCCAACTCAACTGTGGGACCTTTACTATGAGGTTGCAAAGCTGCTGGTTAGTGATGTGCCTCCTGACGCTTGTCTTTTGGAAAGACACTAGGAAAATGGCTGATTCCAGGTGGGATGCCAGGGCAGGAAGGGAAGGAGAGCAGAATCAGCTGTCATTTGAAGAAGTCTGGCCTATTACCAGCTGCTCCTGCAACTTTCCTTTCCCTCTTCCCAGCAGGATCCCAGTTAATTTGTGTTCTGCTAATAAGCACCTGTTCTCTGTTTATTATCACCTGTGCCCTGGGATCCTACCCCAGCACCTGAATTCCCATGGGGATAGCTCTGTAGCTGAGCAAACAAACTATTCCAGGAAAACAAGTGGCACACTGATAGTAGCATATATTGCAGGAAGCAGCTATAATCTGCTGTCCTGAACTGCACTTCTATAGGAACAGTAAAACTCCAACCAAAGTGGGCTTGTCTGATGCCTCCCTAATGTGTATTTTGCTAGTTCTCAGAACCCAGCATACCTGGGGGAGCACAGAAGGGCTTTAAAAGCAAACTGTTTTCTTCCTTCTTTTAATTCTCTTTTATCAGGGCCACTTCTAACAGCTTACAGGCTTCATTTGAAGTAAAAACTGGAGCAAGGAAGGCTTCAGTTTTGTAGGGGGTTAAATGCCACAACAGTTTTGTTCTGTGGCTGCTCACAGTTGAGAAGGAGGACGAGCAAAGATGACGGTTTAAGAATGATGGCTCTCAGAGAACACATCTGCGTCTTGCATCATTATGATTATTGTATTTCAGCACAATGGGATCAGCAAAATCCTTAGCCAAGATTAAGGCTCCTTTGAGCTAGGTAGCTGCAGTCAAAGGCTTCTTGCCCTAAGAAGCTTACGGTCTGCAGATACAAGAGAGAAGAATGGCAGGAAAAAGAGGGCTAGGGAGAGAAAGTGTCAGGTAAGCAGGGAGCTGGTCCATGGCAGAGAACAGAGCCTGCTTTGGTAAGGCTTCTGTGCTGCTCCGTTGCCATGCCTGACCACAAGCCCAAGTGCATTTCCTGGCTGCAGAGATTTTGCATGCATGAAACCCTTATTTTTAGCCTTCCAAAAGTCCTTTTTTGCTTCCCATCTGTCAATCTCACCCTCCCTTCTGCTGCGCTGGCTGACCTCAGCTTACCTGGTTGGTCAGATGAGCAGTCAGATCATCAGAAGCAGCATCATAGTTGACACAGGTCAGCCTGACATAACCCTGGGCAAAGAATAACAGGTATGGTGCTGTGCAGGCAATGAGGAGGTTAAGAGCAGACATCAGACTTCTTCCCTTCCAGGGGTGCTGAGTGTACCTATGAGAGCAGTATTTCAACACGTGTCACAGCAGGCAGCCGTAATCCATGACCACTCAGAGCTCATACAAACCCACAGCCAGTTCAGGCACCCCATAGAATTCATCTCTTTGTCCCTTTCTCTCAGGTTTTAAGGTGAGTGGCAGCAGAGGGCGCTTGTAGGAGAGGATAAAGACGCCAAGAGCAGCTCCGTGTAAGAGGAATAGAAGCTGCTCCGAGGACAGGAGCAGGAGGTAATTAAAGATTTACTAATATTTACTGGAGAATACACAAAGTTTATGTTTGGACACAAAGAGCCCTTCATGCAGCACTATTGCTTTTATTGCCAGAGTGATGTAATCTGGGAATTGTTTCCTTTTATCATCAAAGGTTGCTGGATGGCCACAGAAATAACAAGGATATGCTCTTAAAACAATGCTAATAGTTTTCAAAGGTGAATGGAGCCCCTTAGAGCAAAAGCCATTTCTCACTGCTAGAAACCAAGATGGGATCTAAGATAGGGTCCAACCACTTTCTCCCCTAGCACTTGTCCATGTCAGAGACCACATTTTGGTCTAACTGAGGCCCTTGGTCTGGTTTTCTTAGGCAGATGTTGTTTTGCTCCATGCGATGGTTGCTGCATAAACACAGTCTAGCCTGTAAGATCATCATCTTGCAAGTCTCTCTTACCCTTTGCAATGAAGCCAACCCTTCCTTTGTAACAAGAAGACATGTGTGGATGAATGGAAACAGAGAACATTGCTTGCTTTGGCCAGGGAAGCCCTTGGAAAGGTTGCTGTGTGTGCTGTGTTCTTTTGCAAGATAAAGATGCCAAGCCAGGAGAGCAGAATGTCAGGGATATGACACGGGGTCAGTGTGAGGAACTGGTATCACCACTTTGCCAGGACATGCAGTGATCACTCCATGGCAAAATGTGCTTTTGCCATGCCAGTACTACAGTGTTATCACGACTGTATCACACTGTCATGACAATGCCATGCCTGGCCGGGCACCATGAAGTTTAGAGAGCCCTGCATGCCTAGCTGTGCACACCAAAGGCAGCTGGGAAGTGCAGCTCCTGGGATAATTGATCTCTCTTGCATTCCTCTTTGAAAGGTTTATTCACTCATCTCAAAGCACTGAAGTGATTTAATTATAATGCATTCCTCAGCTAAGGGAGGCACAGGGAAGTGGAGTTAACAGAACACAAGTAGTGTTGAGTTGCTGAAACTCTTCTCATGACTTCTGCTGCCTTATTTTTCCCTTCCTTTTCCTGCTGCTGCTTTCTACAAACATTCTAATAGTGGCTTTTAGTGTATATAGTACACAAAGAAGAACCTGCATAGTTAATTCATGCAAAGAATGAAATGTAAACCCACCCCAACCCAAAATGTTAGTGACTGGTAGCCCCTGCCTGTTGATTGAGGTCTAGACTTTTGCAGCATTGAAGCAGAGTTAAGAAGGTATTTGGGAGGCTTTATTATACTGCAGGGAACAGATACTGCATCTGTATCGCTTGTAAAATGCCAGCTTTGTATAAGAAGCTGGGATTATATCTCATTTAAATTGCTTTCCACAAGGCTTTATATATAGACCTCCTGTACAGACCCATAGCATCTGGCCTTTTGAAACCATTCTTAAGCTTCCAGACAAAGGTAAGCACGTCCCTTGCTCACTCAACGGTGCCACTGCTGTCACAGCATTTGAGCTGCAGAATTGCACTGAAACATACCCCTTCTGCACTGCCAACTGCTGTCGTGGGGCAGCCTGACAAACAGCTGCCAGGAGAGCTGGTAGGATGGAAAAGGGAAAGGTGGCTGCTGTACATGGACTGGCAGGGCAGTGGTACCACTCTTTCTACCACAGAGAAGCCTGCAGCAATGTGCTGTGGTGCTCAGGCTTGCCAGGGCACAGGTCCTGACCAGCTCCCTAGGAGTAAAAGAATTGCCCCAGGGGCTGTGCTTAGGGAGTTTGTGTTTGTTGTGCAAAGTACTGCTCTGAGGGTGCCAGGCAGAGGTGTTGCTTTGGGAGACCTTGGGTTTATGCTTTAATGGTGGGAAAGCTGGGGAGTCAGGATGGTCCTATCAGACCAAAGGTAAAGAGCAATTCAACAAGCCTGAGGAGGAGGGAGGACTGTTTCTAACATGACTTATGGTTTGTGTTTAAATCTCTACTGCTCATTTTACTCTCCTTAGTTCATTTCAATGGCATCCTTTCTCCCAAGGCTGTTTCCTTGAATAACCCTTTAATCACCATTGCAATCTCTGATGTCCCCTCCAAACTCTGTCAGGAAGTCGAGGTTCCCTGTTTCTCCTACCCTCAGGTGACCTCCTTTGCCCTGGGAATCACAACTCCAGCATTCCCAAGTTTTTCCCACCACCCTCTCCTGCTCAGGGCCCACAGGCACCTTTACCTTCTTTGAAATGGTAATAGGTCTCCTGGCACTTGATTTCACACCATTTCAGTGCATAATCCTCTCTTGTGTGTCATAGATACGCTGCCAGCCTCTTAGCTGGCAATAGATGCTCACACTGCATAAGGAAAACAAAATAGAAGAGGATCCTCCCTTCTAATAACAAATACTTACTTAGCTCATATCCCTTGAACTCCTAATAATTTTCCATGGCAGTCTGACCTAATATACCCAGGAGGCCCTGGGTGGGGGATAAGGTGGAAAGCATTCATTAGAACTGCTGCTAGTGGACCTGTTGGTCTGAACTTGAGAGGGGCCGGGGGAGTAGCTGAGGATGCTAAAGAACATTATGATTCAGCAGCTCTAATGAGACCTTGTACCATTTCAGCAGGGTTTTTCCAATTAGGATGGAGCTGGTACCCATGGAATAGAAATGTTCAGAGTCCAGTCTTAATAAGGAGCTTCTCTGCTGAGGAGTGTAGGGAGAGATGACAAACAGCAATAGAAAAAGCTGTTTGTAGCCTATGGAAACATAGCAAAGAAGTGCTGCTTGCAGCAGAGATTCTGTGGTGCTTGGTGGTGACAACATCCAGAGAAGAATGCCAACATGCTGGAAAGAGCTCAGAAAGGAAGGCATGGAACTTCTGATGTGACAGTTTTTCTTGGGCAGGAATCTCTTCTTCTTTTTTGCTTGCTCTGCATTTAGCACAACAGAATGTTGATCAACAACAGGGGTTGCTAGCTCTAGTGGTGATGCTAGCAGCTTTCCTACATGGTGTAGCAAAGTGATTTTTGCACAGCTCAAACAGAGGAGCTCTCATTAAACAAATAGAAGTACGTCATTCCCTTGCAAAGATGCAGTTAGCTGCTTCACCACTAGTGGCCTTCCCATGGGTACTTTCTATTTGATTTATCTTTAAATGGTTCCCCAGGTTTAACCCTCCAAAAAGATAGGAAATCAAAGGAAAGTTATTTAATGGATAATACTGCATCATTTCATATCTGGTCATACTACTGTTCATAAGAATCTGCTGGGAGGACCTACTTACAGCCTAGCTCCATTAGATCCACTGATATAAAAATACGGTCCTGGTGCTTTCAGGATCTCTTCTTTTGGCTGTTTTTCTTGAGGGTTTGCCTTACCCGTGTTCTGATCTCGTCGTTCTTGGCTTTCTCAAGCTGCACTTGAAAAGTAGCTGCAAAATTGGAAATGGAGAAACTTCAGATGAGCTGGGATCTTCTCCATAAAATCCATCTCTAGGGAGACAGCTGGTAGAAGACACTGTAAGGTAACTGCTTCAGTTGGGTTTATAGCCATTGCATGAGCTGAGTACAAGTCATTCCAGATGGAAAGCTGGGGGTGGCTATGGCAGAGTCTGACAGACTGCAAGGTCTAGAGAGGTGTGGAGGTACAAAGGGAGAAGAGCAAGAAGAGCCTCCTAAAAGGCATTAGCCATACACTATGCATTGAAACAGATTCTCTTTCAACTGTAAAGCCTATAGGAATTTTGACAAGCCCATGATGTGACAGCTCTGAGGTCCCCTGACAGGCAGCACAAAGTGGGGTGGTGCATGTGAACTGGTGTGACAATGACTGGAGGAGTGGGAATGGGAAACTTCAAACTGGTAGCTAATCAGTTCAGTCTTGCAGGGGTTCTGGTGCTTATTCTAAAGCCCCAGGGCTCAAAAGCTGGTGAATTTGTAGAGGATAATAATACTTTTTAAGTATAAAGTGAATGGATCTGCCTAACAAGTGCTGTTGGGTGGAGAATGTCAGAGCTTGTATCTAGCTTTAGCAGTTGTGAAGATCTTCCAACTTCTTGGCTTTCTAGGAAGGATAAACTAAACCAAAAGCATCACTTCCAAATCCTTCCTGTCAAGTGTTTTTTCTCTATAATACATAGCAAAAGCTTTTCTTTCACAAGGCAAAATGAGACTTCATCACTTTTCCTTCATGCTTTGTCTGTATTTCAGGTCTCTGATGTTCTTCATACAGCACAGACAATTCTCTGCTGCAGTCTGCAATCGGGTTCTAAAGTAGCTGAAACAACTCAAGTACCATCTCACCCGTACAGAGATACAGGCCCAGAGGTCTAACCCTGTGCTTTATAATGTATATTTGGGATATCAATACCCTCTTCTCCAGACTTATGGAAAACATACAAAGGTTTAATACTTCCAGAAGCTATGCCTCTGTTGTCTCTTCAACTTGGCCATGCCCCAAACTTTTTGGAACAACACGTGAATAGAAGAAAAAGTCCCCCCTGTCCTAGTTCTGTTCCCATGGAATTAGGTGGGAAGGAGGAGCAGGAAACTGGAGTCACCTCCTCCTCAGACTGTTCTTTTATTGTTATTGTAGTACATCCTGTGGCTACATGAGTAAAAACTTCTATCTCAATGACAAAACTCCTTTGCCATAAGTGGAGCAAAGGTATTGGATGCTGTTATCTCTCTTATTTTACAAGCAGTTGTTTTATGTCTTTGCTGCACTCCACCTATGAGCACAGGTGCAGTGCATAGTGAACTCTGTGCCCAATTATTGGATTTCCCAGCAGGCTCCCACACCTGGTTCACTTTGCTTTGGAATAAAGGAAGTAGATTGCAAATTCTTTGAGGCAAGACTTGCTGTAAATTCCTGCTTCACGTAATCCTTGGCACCAAAAGGTTCTACCACTAAAAGCCTCAGTGTTGTTACACACTGCAGCATTATCAGTGCTAATCCCTGGACTCCTGCCTTGAAGTTCCTCCTTAAATTCAAACCAAAACAAACCAAAAGAGCACACTAAACAACCAGTTCAGACAAGCCAGGGCACAGCGTCCACGATGGAGAACCCTGCCTCCGCAATGTCTTGTAACCAACTGGAACGAGCTTTTTCCACAGTCAACATCCAGCTGCAGACTCCAGTTGCTCCCTGCAGGATGGTGGGACAGTTGCATTGAAGAGGATCTCCAGCAGGGAGCAGTGCCTGGCTCTTGTGTCGCTCTCCTTTTGCCATCAGAGCACCAGACCAAACAAAAACACGCTGTCCTCCTCTAGAAGAGGCTGTCTGTCATTGGCGACTCAGCCAATTTTTGGACAGGCTGTTTGAAGGCAGGTTAATGCATTATGCATAAGCATCAGGGAAATAAAAAGCCATGCAGGAAAGCAGTGCAGTTCAGCTGCTTCCTAAACCCAGAGCTTGTTATACAAAGGTTGTACCATGAAGCAGTCCCACCCCTCCAGCTACTGGTATCTTCCACCAGTGGGGTTGGTCTCTCTCCTCTGCCTTAACACGGGATGTTAAAGTGCTGCTCTTGTTATTCTTTGATATGGGAATGTAAATATTGATTTCTCTATTTTTAACGTTTAATTGCTTGTTCCTAGATCCTGCCAGAGCTTTGGGCTCTTCTACCACTTCCCTCCTTGCCTGGATTGCTAAGAGATTAACCAATTTTAAACAGTCCCATTTATCCCAAGACATGGATACGTGAAATATCCTGCAGTGATTGAAGTGCTGGTAAGGTATTCTTCCATTAGTCTGAACACGTACTTGTCTCTCCCTCTCTAATCTTTATACAGAGACCCATGGGGTGGGAGCCTTTTATCATCTCTTCTGTCTAATTATAGAATCTCCCAGTATTCAAGATGAATCTTCGTTTCACTGAATCTTTTGACACGTATTATTTTAGCGAGAGCCCTCTTAAGTCTTCATTTGCTTGTGTGTTTTGCATCAGGGTAAGGAGAAACAGGGATGCAGGGTGTATTCCTGTTGCTTGATTGCATAAATTTGAGGCAAGGGCCTCTTCCCTTGTTTATCAGAGATGGGATTAGATGCTTCCTGGGACCTGAGCTCTTAGGAAAGAACAGAGTGGCTTGGCTTGCACACTTCATCACCAGAGGGGAGTGGGTATTCCAGAGGCTGAGTTTGTGCATCTGAACTCAGCTCTGGGCTGTTTCTCTTTCCAGAAGGTGTTTGTGGTGGAGAGGGGGAAGACCCACTGGGGAAACAGTCTTTTACTTGTCACAGTGACTAGCAGCATGGAATGAAACAGCACGATTCCCTTCCAGAGAGCCCCCACAGATGTTATCTTCACAGCGGGCGTCACCAGTGAATTACATTGCTTGAGACAATCCTGAATCTGGCTCATTAATTTCTTTGGGAATTGCATGTTGGCAGCATGTGTACCAGCAGCTCCTATCTCAGCTCTGCTTTCAGTGCCCATGGGGATGAACACGGGCAGGGAGATGCAGGCTGCTTTGTGTCATTTGGTACCAAAGGGAACAAAGCAGAGTTTAGAAGACAGACCTTCCTTTTTCCACGTAAAGGAAGGTTTAACAGTGTAGAAGCTGACTGATTTCCCCAGAATGTAGCTGCAATTTGCATTTAAGAACACCAAATGAGCTAAACATCTTCCTAAAGACAAGACCTAGAGATTACCTCTGTACTAAAAAGGTTTTCATTTGAAACAAATACATCTATTTCTTATTGCCAAAGCACAGAGCTGAGCTCAACAACAAACGTGTCACAGAAATAATGCTCTTGGTTTGGGCATTGAAAGATTTGGGGCATTTCAGCCAAATTCTCCCTCCAAAGCAATGGTTGCTTTTCAAAGGAGCTGCTTGCTAATGGATGGCTTGTGTTTCTGTTCATGTTTTCAATGAAACAGTCAAAATGTTGGTATGAAATAATTTAATTTCATTAGGTATTTGTCAGCCAATATCAGTAATTTTGGTCTTGAACTATTTTAGAAGCAAAGAGATGGGCTTATATTTTCTCAGGGTTTAAATGAAAATGGTGTAAATTATGTGCAGTACGTGGGGAATTCATGCTCTATGGGTGGTATAAGAAGAGGTAACTCTGGCATCAGATGAGAACCTGGTCATAAGACTTAGTACAAGCAATAGCTAAACCATGATACAATATTCACCTCTGATAGCTGATAAGGATCCAGCCTGTTGGTAGCTTCCTTGCATCTTGCACAAAGGCCATCTCAGCCTGGCCTGCAAAAGGATCATCATCCTTATGTCTTTCTGTTTAATGATGTCTCTGTAGCACTTTCTCAGTAACAGGCACTAATACAAACAGTGATTGCTGGTGATAATAAAGTGATGGTGCTTCTGCATCCAGAATTTATGTAAAGCCTTTGATATCAGAGAAGAACATTTTAGGCATCATCTTCCTTGTCTGGAGGGGTAGTTCTGCAACACCTCAAAGCAGCTCAGTGTTTTTACCAAAGGATATCTGATGACAGCAGGTTGGTGATCCCAGTTTTGGTGGTCTGATGAGAACTGAGGCTTTGAGGATTTGCCGAATCATGTTTGGAGTAAGGGCCTGGAACCTTCAATCCAAGTATCATACTGGAGATGCAAATAGCTGTTCAGTGTGTAAGCCAGCACTGCTGTCATGAGATGACACAAAATAGCTTCAGCATCTTACTGATAAACCCCTCTGCCCCGTATCTTCATGGAGATTAGAGGTATTCTGTACAATCACAACTTCATGCCTTTTAGCCCCCTCTTTCAGGGGCTAAAACTACATCTTAAGCCAACAAGAAGGTGTGGAAATTCTAACCTTTGCTTGGCAGTTCCTAAACACTTTAGCAGAGCTCTAACTGTACCTCATCTGCCTTCAGAGAACTTGCACTTCTAGTCAGGCCACAAATTGCTTCTAAAGAAGCAAAACATCCTGTGGACAGTACAGCCTGCCTTACTTCATGGATAGAAGCACAGTGCATCCACAGCAGCAAGCAGAGGCTCAGCAACTCAGATTGCTTCTGCTTTGTTCCGAGTCTGCCGTGCCTGTCTGGGAGGGTCAGAAAACCTTCAGTGCTTTAAACACAGGCTGATCCCCTGGCAACAGCTGCCTGGAGACTGGTGCTGGTCACGCAAGGGGTTCTGGTGCTGGAAATGCACTCCAGTTTTCCTGGAGTATTGTGTTCAGCTTTGTGGCCCCAGCACAAGAGGGATGTGGAGCTGCTGGAGTGAGGCCATGGAGATGCTCTGAAGGCTGGAGCAGCTCTGCTCTGGAAACAGGCTGAGAGAGCTGGGCCTGTGTTTTCTTATGTGGTAACTCCCCTATCACCCCCGGACTAAAAGGGATGAGAAACATTGATGGGAGGTGGAATTTGGCTTCCATTCAGCCTCTCTGTTGGCCCTGCATCCTCCAGCGTGGCCGTGCCAAGCTGGTGTGAATGCCCTGGCACTCCTCCCTGCCGGTCACGGTGACCTTCAGGAACATTCTATTTTCCTGTTCATACACAATGCCTCTGATTAGCTCCAGTGCTCGCACGGAGCCAGTCGGGATCCTGACCTTGCCTTACCTTCAGCCTTCCTGGATTACCTCTCACAGCCAACCCTCCCAACCTTAATCTCTCTGGTCATATAGAGAGCAGCTCGGAGCGGGAGGATGGCAGTGTTGCAACCTGCGACTGCAAATACCTTCAGCAAACGTTACACCCTCTAGGAAATATTGCCTAATTGTTGGAGAAGGGGAGAGGTTGACAGGTATAGGGCTAAGAGAGGAGTTTCCTTCACTCAAAATGCCCGTATGTGTTGCTTTGCATACAGTGAAATGAGCTATTCCATAGGGAATTACCAGAGAAGACTCAACTGTGTATTTGCCCTGTTTCCCTTTTTAAATGCACTTTGGATGCTAGTTTTCCACCCTTTTCTGTTTGAATCTCCAGTGCTGAGCATGTAATTCAAAGAACAACAGAGGTTTTCCTTTGCATGGGATGAGGAAGGGGCATTCATCACTTCTCCCTCTTCTACCTATCCTATTCTGCTTTGTTACATGAATGTAAAGGCCTCTTAAAAACTGAGGTTTGTAGAACTTCACCAATAGCTTTAAAAGTCATTAGAGTAAGCAATGGCAAAGTGCCTGTGTAATCCTTATTATCCTGGAAAACCAGGCTAGGAAAAACTGCAATAGAGAAGAATGTGGGCTGCCAACACAGGTACAGATGGAGACAGAGCGTGTTTAATTCACTCTTCAAAGGCTTTCGGCGACTTGATCATCTTTACAGGTGCCATTTGAGGCATCAGGTTTGGGAATCAGGCAGTGGGACAGCTTGCTGCTGCATTTGGTCTCTTGTTTAAGTGCGTAAAGCTGGAAAGTTTTGATGTGAAAAGCCCTTTTGGATTCATGTTTCTGAAGACCTTATGGGATCCATGTGAAATACAACTATAACAAGCTAGTCCCTTGACTATAAGATATATCAAGATTTATATAAGACATCTATTTCCTTGCTAGAAGATGCAATAATCAGGTTATAATTCTTTTTCAAGGTGCTCATGAAATCCAAGGAGCGCTGTATCCAACAAAGCCCAGTAAAAAGTCAAATATTAAACCATGGAAAATTCCTTCAAAAAATAATGTTCTACATCATTACTTATGCAGAACCTTGAGTCAAGCAATGGAGCCTTGTTATTCAACAGCCAGGAAAAGCATGGAATAGAGAACTAATGTCACACATGCTGCAGGGAGACAGCAGGTCTCAGAGGGTCTGGAATTCCCTCAGTTTTTGTAAGCAGAGATTGGTTTCACAAACCATCCTCTGGAAGGAAGCGAGCTACATAAAAGTGCTAATGTTTGCTTGCTGAAGAAACCAATCTCAGCTCTACTGCAGGAATGCTTTTTAATGCTTCTCTCTCTGAATAGATGCAAGTTGAGGATGAAAACTACTGTTTCAGTGGCTTATGAGAGATGCTTTAGCAGCTCCTGCTCCTGATCATGCCGAAGTTCAGGTGAGCAGCACTGTTCCATCCCAAAGCCACTGAGCCAAACCCAGCACTCAGGGCTGGGTACCAGCTCCAGCCCTCTCGTGGGAGAGCAGCACTATCTGGACAATCTCTTTCATTGAAGGATTTTTGAGCAGTGACTCATGTGCTGGTGGTGTGTGTGCTCCCAGTGCCCTTTCCCACAGCTAACTGGAGGGGCAGAACAACACGTCTCTCAGAGAACAATGTTTTAATCACGTTTGGAGGCTGCTCCCACCCTTACGTAAGCTAATTCCCAAAGTATCTCTGGAGGTCAGTTCCAAGCAGGTTTTTCCTAGCTTGCCATTGCTGCTTTCCAGTGGGAGCAGTGTTTCTTGCAGGGGGGTCACAGCATGATCTAGGAGGAATAAACTTGCCTTGTGGAGGCAGCCTGGAAGGACTGTGCATGCTGTTTTATACAAGGAGGGTGCTGAAGCATTGACACAGGTTGCCCAGAGAGGTGGTGGATACACCATCCCTGGATGCATTCAGGGCTAGGTTGGATGTGGTTCTGAGCAAACTGATCTAGATGAAGATACCCCTGCTCATTGCAGGGGGTTAGAACTGAATGAGGTCCCTTCCAACCTGGACTATTCTGTGATGTTCTTGAGTGTGCAGCAGAGTTGTAGGGGTCAGAAAGCATCATCTCCTCTTGGCCCTGCAAGAAAGCCACTGCAGGAGACAGGAAAACTTGTCTAGACTTCAGTTTTCCCACCTGTACAAGGGAAAACCCCAGTTTTTACATGTTGTGGACAAGAACAGATAATTATTGGATATGTTTGTTGAACAACACATGCTTGGGCCTCCCACTAGTGAACTATGTGGTCCCCATCCGGAACTGAGCTGCAGCTTGATTGTGGTGTGTGTAGGTTTTATTTCAGTACCACAGGGAAACAATAGGAAGCAGTACAACATACAGCAGCTTTCCCAGAGAAGCTTATTAGTCTGGCCTTGTCTCCCCCTGCACAGCAGGCCATAGACATGTGGAAATTAATGATTAAGCCCCAATTCTGACACAAAGCTGTGCAGTTAGGTGAGCCCACTGGATTCAAACATAAAATCCAAGGGTTTTGGCTGGTTACTGTCATAGTTTTGTACCAAGGCCACTAAAAACCCCCAACGCCTGTGGGAGGTTCAGCACATGAGCCCATTTCATGTAATCTGTCACAGAAATCCTAGGTATTACAAAGAGACTGACCCATCCCCTTCCCCCAGGTGTTTCTGGTAGCACAACAGGACAGCAGAGCAGCTGAGATCAGCTAAATCCCAGTTTACACCTCCACACTTGCAGGTGAATTCTGTTCACCTCCTCACACCTCATTAGCAATCTATCTTCCACCAGCAGGAGCACAGGAGCTTGCCATGGAGATCAGATTTGAGGCCAGTCCACCCTTGTGTCTCATCCCTGACATTGAACAGAGCATCAGCAGAGAGCACTGGAGGCTGCAGGGCACTAAGCTGGAGGAGGGATGACTTCACTGCGTTGGAGGTAGGGGGGAAAGGTTCTTGCTGATGAGGTAGAGGTGACTCCAGAGGGCTGGTGAAGCTGGGGCAGAGCTGAACTGTGTGCTGTGCCATGCTCTGCTTCTTTCTGGTGGGTCAGGCCATGCAGCCAGGACCTTACTGTACTGAGGAAAAGGGAGAATATATGAAAGAGCTGTTGTTAAAGTGTCCTACCCCCTCCCTGCCTTTCCCTTTGTTTTATTGTGCTGTTTCTAAAGCTGCTTTCCTGTTGTTTGAACTCCTTCCTTTCCCTCCTGCTTTTCCCATTTAGGTAGGGAAATGCCTTGCTCTTGACACAGCATCCAAGGTGGATACTGTGACCAGTCCTGGTTCCCAGGTTTGATCAAAGACTTGCCAGGTTCTTTGTTTCTGTGTGCACCATGAGGAGCCCTTTGCATATTTTTCAGGTGATTTAATCCTCAGTTGGCCATGCCTCAGATGGCTCTGCTGCTGCAGGTGCCTTGCTGCAAGGGGCGCATGAAGTGCTGAGCTTTCTCAAGAGCACTGAAAGCCCCTTCTCTCCGAGTTGTCTCATGCAGCAGATGATGGCTTCGTGAAGAACAAAGCAGAGGACCATTTACAGTAAGAGGAGTGTGCTTTGCTGAGTGCAGAGTGTTTGCAGCTCTTAATGATGCAGAACCTCTTTTAGGTGGCTGTGGGAAAGGGGTGACTCTGAGCAGTGTGCAATATTTGTTTCACACTAGCAAAGGCTGGAATGTCGCAGGCAGCAGGAATGGTTCTTTGCTTTTGGGCCCACAGAGCTCTAACATATCTGCTTTCTGCTCTGCACCAAGGCTGAGCCCGTTGCAAACTAACACAGCATCCCTGTGTTCATAACAGAGCAATTCTAACTGCCCTAGCTTGCAGCATTCCCAGCATTCAGACACAGTTAGACCCTCGACAAAACCAGCGTCTGGAAGCCCAGGGTCTTACTGACATTGCTATGAAACAGTTCTGAGCTTTCATCTAGCACAGCTTGTGCCACATGATGGAGAGCAAGAAATCAAGATCAGTCTTTGACCATTTGTTTGCTTTGCCCATGTTAGGTTGGGCCAGGGGGGAAACCAGAAAACAGCTCAGAACTCACAGAAACCAGAGGGAGCATTTACAGAACTAAGAAGCTGCAGTGGAATCAGAGGGGATGAAATTCACTGCTACAGGTACAGGAATTCATAGGGCAGCAATGGTGAATTACTGCCAGAGGTCTGAGCCAATGCTCAGGAGCTGCAAATAAGCTCAAGAACAGAAACCGAGACTGCTTGTCATCACAGGGGCACAGGGAGATGGATGCTAAGGCTGTTCTGGCAGCTAAGAGACAAGTGTGTAACTCCCTTAGACAAGGACATGCATTTTCTGGGGCATCTGGAAGATTCTAGGATTCTGTAGCTCATCCTTGCATCAGTGAAACATCTAATGAATAACTTCAGCAGCTCGTTGCCATGCACAGACACAGATATATATATATATGTGTGTATATGTGTGTGTGTGATGTCTTTAAAACTGGATCCAGAGCAAGAACTTTAGGTACTGAGATAACCTAGACTAGGTCTTGCTTTGCCTAGAAATGTTGAGGTCTCTTCCAAATGATAGTCTATGATAAATACATATTTAAAACATAAAAGCAGCAGTGTAAGTGACAAGGGCCAAGTAAGTTCTGATTTTGCCCACAGGGCACCAGATCACGTGAATTCACTGGCTTCAGTTTCCTACCTGGCTTCCAGAATTCATAGGAAATGAACAGGAGTAGTAGTTGTGAATGCAAAAGTGGTTGTTTGGTTTTAAAGATAAACTACTGCCAAGGTGTTGCTCCTGCCTGTTGCTGCAACAGTCGCCCCACTATGCAAAGTCTCCCTCACATTTGCTTTTGGTCACTTGATGGTCAAGATGGAGTAACCACAGTGACCTTCCCTAAAACACAGGGGTGCTGTCAGCGCTACCAGTAGAGAGCCAATCTACCAGGGCTGAGAGCTACTGCAGACCCAGAGCCAGCCCTCTTTGTGCTCACCTGTGTACCTTTGCCTCCCTAGATGATTTTCAGTCTTCTTTTATTCACTGTGGAATTTTCTTCAGGCGTTTCATTTCATGTACCACGCTGGGAGCCTCTCAAAAGCTTTCTAAGCACAACCCATTCCTTGGCAGGGCTTTTCCTGAGACTGAACACATTGCTTATTGCTGTACCAGTTGTGCTAACCAGGCATGTGCCCTCTTCTCAAAGTGCCTTTGGTTCCTTTCAGAATCCACCACCGCTCAAGTCCGGGCCTGTCTCTTGGATGCCTCCCGCACTGTGAAGCGATGCCAGAGAAGGCAAGGCAGGAGGCTCCATCCTCCTGCCCTCCTTGGGAAGGTGAGAGGGATGCCCAGATGCTCTTGGAAATGAATTTCAAATGGAAGCTACTAGTCCAATAGCCCAAGGGCAAACTATGCCAATGGTTTCGGTGAGTTTTACAGCAATGGGATTGTGACGGGCTGTGTGTTGTTCCAGCTCTTTCTTTCTGTACTTTGTGAGCTCCTCAGTCCCTGACAGGGCCCCATCTGTTGCTGGGAGTTACTGGCAGTGCGTTGCAGTTCAGAAAAGCAGTTGCTTCACAGTGTCAGATGGGGCCAGGTTTTCATGCGTGTTGTCAGTCAGGTTTTGCATAAGCCACAAAGCCCATCCCACTGTTTTTACTTTATCCTTGTGGAGAGCTTAACCATTTATGTGGCATAGCCAGTCATTTGCAAACTGTTCACACTGCTTCCCTGGAGCTTCACATGAGGGAACTGTCCCTTGTAGTGCTCCAGAGCTTGGCTTCTCTTTTGAGACACCCAGTTAGCATCTGACACCTTGTGACACAAATGAATGCTGTAGGCCAGGCTGAGGAGACTCTTGCTTCATCCCAGCACTAAATACCACTAGAAGGTCATTGTGATTTTGGAGTAGAGGTGGGCTGCTCCCTTAGGAAACAGCTTTACATTGGTGAGCTGTATGCAGATTGAGGTACATTCAGTGTCCTGGTGGCTTTGTGCTGACAGAGATATCTTTCTGGCAGTGTTCAAGGCCAGGTTGGACAAAGGGGCTTGGAGCTCTAGTGGAAGGTGTCCTGGCCTGTGGCAGGGTGTTGGAACTGGATGATCTTTAAGGTCCCTTCAGCCCAAACCAGTCTGAGATTCTGTGATCTTCTGTTTCCATCAGCTGCCTGCACCAAATACCTGTCCCTCACTGAAGAGGTACAGTCTGCTGTGAGCAACAGCATAGCTCAGTGACTGATGAACTTGTCTTTGATTTATCACGTTTATGAGAACAGCCTGAAGGGCTGGTTAGGTATCACTGGGTGTGTGACAGCTATAGCTCTGGCCTCAAGTGGCCTCACTTATTGACTCTTACAGTACTGAAGGAGCGATTGACTCTGTTTCATTTCCACAGGAACGGGATCTCATGTACAGTGTTTCTGCAGAGACGTGCACCTTGCAGTAGAAGCAGGTAACACTGTTCACACACATACAGTTAGAATCCCAGTTGATCTCTCTGGTTGAACCTATAGCATTTACTCACCAAAACAAGTTAAGTTTTTCTGGGATCAGCAGTGGTTTGACCATAGTAACTATGAATAGAACTAGCTGTATCAGAGAGAGCCACTGGAGGTATAAACAGGGAAAAGCTTGGGATATTCTCATTAAAAACAGGAATAAGGGATGTGGATTTCTCCCTTTCTGTGCCCAGCCTCTTCCTTCAACACAGTGTGATGGCTCCTTCTCTTCCTGGAGGAAAGGTGTGTGTTAGGGAGCAGCAGGTGTATTCCCCAGCCTGCTTTATTTTCCTGCTCTGTTCCAGAGCATGGGCTCATGGATGCTGCCACTGGGATGCATAAGGAGGCAGTGAGGGGGACACAAGAGGAGGGGGTGTGTGTGAACCACTTACCATTTATTTAGCTGCTGAAATAGTGTAATATTGCAAAGAAAATGATACAAAGCACACCCTGCTCCCCCTCGTACCCTTATATCCAGACAAAGGGCGGAAAATGGGATAGAGCAGGGAATAGGAGACCTCTCAGTTTGCTGTAGTCATGCCTAAAACTTCTGAGTTGCAGCTATGGAAGAAATCCAGTTTAAAAACAAATTTAAAAGGCCTTAAATACAGGCTGTGTCTAATTCACTTTGTTCATCACGCAAACACTGTTACCTCTGACTCTTCCTGCTTGTTATGTTTTAAGGTATATTTATAGGTAGTTCCTTTGTTCCCAACAGCTCTAAAAAAGCCCTGTTTTTAGGACATGTTCTGAGGGAGATAGAGACCAAAGACGAGTAAGCAATGAAAGAGCTGCATGTTACTAACCCATCCTAGTTTGGTTTTGGGTTTCCCTTTATTCAGTGGCACTCAAGGCTTTTTCTCCCTGCATGTGTTCACTGAAAGGCTCACAGCCATCAAGTAGCAGATAGGGAATAATGAGGTAGGTTTGCCCACAGAAATCTAAATGGCTTTGTTTAAAGTGGTGTTTGGTATGCAAATAGAATTAGCAATCCAGATGAGGTTGTTTCTCCTCCCTGTTTGCTTAGCCTCTCCCTGGCTTTGGCTCCCAGCTGCAGGGACTGAGGGAAGGGCTTAATGCAGCCTGTTCAGTGATTTGCATTTGGACACCAACACTTAAATGGAATCTTAGTTAAATATCAGATCATCTTGGTTATTCCAATCCCTCCTTAAGTCCTGTGGCTGTGACACTGTTTAGAAGTGAGTTAATAGTGGCAGAAGGTAACAGCGGTTGAGCAGAACCTACCCAAGGAGTCATCATGCTTGATATATCCTATATATATGATACATATATATATATATATCATCGTGCTTGATATATGTATATATATACACATATATAGATATATATATCTCCTCCTGAGCCCTCTGCTTGCTCTCTGCCCTCCCAGAGCAGCATCGCGAGCACCAATCCCCTCACCTGAACCTGGAAGTAGTTTGAATCCCATGTGCTTTTAAAGCAAGTTCACAACAACTGGGAAGAAACCTGCTATAGCCTTGAAAAGGGGGGATAGTTTGATAGAGGATGTGTTGTTCATTGAGCAGCTTCTTTAATACTTCAGTCTGCTTCTGTTGAGTAAGACAATCGAATTACGTGTGCATAGTTTCTGTAGTCTTGAACTTTGTTCTTGAGTCAGTTTAGGTTTAACAGTTGGGCCAGGAGGTGCTTGTTAAATTTACTGCTTTGGGAGCTGACTCCACCTTTCCTTGCCTAAAATAAACTGACAAAGGAATAAGAAAAGAGCTTCTTAAGGAGACTGGGTATTGCATTTCTCTTCCCTACCACCCAAGTGTATAAATAGCCTCTACACTACATATAAGGCTGATGATACTCTGAAGATGTAAAGAACATCCATACCATGCTGAGAACAACCCTTGCTATTGATTGTGTTTTCATCTTACTTAAAGGAGGTATGAAGCACCTTTAACACACTGGAGTTCCTACTGCTTCATGATGCCTAATAAAGTATTTAAGAGGGTTCAGGTTGGGGTTTTTTCCCCCTAAATGTTTGGATTCCTATGAAAATCCTGGGAAAACTAAATGCTTTGTCTTTGCTCAGCTCCCTGTTAGAAACAGGGAAGGATGTGCTCAACCCATACATTGCTATGCTGTTATGTTAAATGTTAATGTTAGTAAAGGTAAAGCCAAAGAAGAAGTCTG